GAGATGTAAAGAGACAAGATAGAAACGGCGAATCTCAAGGCGGTGTGACGGGAGATATAGCGGAATCGAGGTAAATCGAGAGCGGTGGATTGGCCATGTTATCGTTATCGTAGCTTAGATTATTCTATCTCCGGCTTTTGTAGGCGATCCTTTCGCTCAGTTCTCCTTTTAAATGCTCATCAATCATGGCGCCTCCGTACCGGAATGACAAGTTTTCTTCTGGCTCATCTAACCGACCGTTCCCTTCGCGAAATGATCGCGATGGCCGCATGTATGATGATCGATCCCGATCTCGCTCGCCTGGTAAGCTTCTCCCCGCACGTCAATGGTGTTAAGCCCATAGACGCCTTCGGCACGGGCCCAATTCTCCACATGGTATTGAATCGTGGCTAACTTTATTGTCATTTGAATTGATGAATAAAGGTGGTGCACGCTCCCCTCCTCGAAGACTAGCGGCCGACAGCAGACTCGAGTACCCCAGAGACCGAGAATCTGGACAAGGCTACCGAGGCCATGATCGAGATGATAACCGCCGTCGAGCCTCGCGCTCATCTCCTCACAGGGGCAGAAACGCGTACAAAGACCGCGATCGAGAGGGTTATCGAAGCGCGAGCGGCAATCGAAGCCGGAGTCGCAGCCCTCGTCGAGGCCAGCCGAATATGGGACAGGTGAGCCGAGAAGTCATGATGGATGGACTTCCGGTGGATATGACCGAAGAGGATGTGAGTCGTTAAATCAATGCCCTGATCAGGCGTTTCAATATCTCTGTGGCCGGGGACAAATACTGACAATGCTCTATTATGTACAATTAGATCGCGACTGAACTCAGCAATGCCTATCATACTGACGGCCTGGAAGATATTCGAGTTATTCGTGACCGACAAACGAGTATGTGAAAGAAACAGACCATTTGCAAATATGCGCATCGTTTTAACCTGGTATTGTGTTCAACAGAGTTGTCGCGGCAACTAGGGTTCCTGCGATTTTCCACGATTGACGCATCACGCGAATTTGTCGAACGCAATCATCCTTCCATATTTTTCTACGGTCCCACAAACGACCGAAGTACTCAAGTTCGCATAGCTTACAGCCGTGAGAGGGAAGACCGAGCTCGCGCAAAAGGTGCGAGTGACTGGAACTGCAGAAAGGTAAGTCAACGTGGTGGGGACAGGAAACATGCTTTCCTACCTCGTACTTAGGTAATTACTGTTACTGTTCTGTGCTTACAAAACCAGTGTCTCGTTCTCAACTTTTCCACACGTCCACACTGTTTCAAGTGCGGTAACCCACGACCCGGTATGTATACCATCCCCCACCCCTCAATCCTCATCAACACTAATCATCCACGCAGATATGGATACCGGTCCCCCAGGAGTTCCGATTCCCAAGATAGCTAACGATGGTGACAATGATGTCGCTCCTGAGAGCCAGCCTTCCCAATTCTTGCTGATCCGTGGTCTGGAGGCGTCTGTCACGGAGGAGCTTCTTGCAAAAGGAGTTGCTAAACTGTATCGGCCGTCTGTCAACAATGACAGCGCCACTGACAATCAAAAGAAGGGATCGAAGATAGCCTCGACCACTGGTGACAGCAACTTGGGAGCCCGCGAAGGCTCTCTCCGCCGCGTGCTCCTTGTACGTGATCGCAGAACCAATGAAAGCTGGCGTTACGGATTCGCAGAATTCGCGGGAATCAATGTACGGTTATCATTCATCTCTCATATTGTTTCCTCTTCTAATACTTGTCATTTCAGGATGCCCAAGCTGCCATGACGCGGCTCAAGTCTTTCGAAAAGTTTACCATCTCCTCAAAGCCGGTGTTGGTCACCTACATTCACGGTGGAGTTTTTGTTCCAGTCATGAACGCCTCATCCAGTGCTAGTCACTTCACATTCAGCCCATCTAACAACCCATCGCTGAAGTTGATGTACTGGGATGATGCAGCATACGTGAAGGAACTCGTGCTGTCAACAGAGGAAGACGATCCTGTAGCCAACAAGACAACTTCCAACCATGGAGACGTCCAAGCCAAGGGCACGAAGGACGATAAAGGCAAAAAGAGAAAAGCCGATGGCCCGCCTATTTCGAACCCCAAGAAGCTTGCAATGCCATCCCAGCTCCAATTCTGGAGTGACCGCCACGCTGAGCTGCATGGGATTAACAGAAATGATGCCGGAAACCCCGCAGAGGGCTCGATCTCCGCAACTCCGGCGACTGACTCGGCCGCTCCACCAGCTCCATCATTCGCAGACTACAACCAGAACCGCTGCCTCCTGTGCATGCAGCAGCTTGTGGATGCGGGTCATCTTAGATACCACGAGCGCACTAGTGATATCCACAGCGAAAACCTAAAGGATGTCAAATTGAGGGAACTCGGCGTATGCTGGTTGATGATCTATGGTATCGTGCCCTTGCCTACTCCGAACTATCAAGACAGCAAAGACGAATATCGTGACGGACTCGAGCAAGAATACTCCATCCCTCCATCAGCTCGATCCTTTGCGGACCTGAATCGCAACTGGTGCCTGTTGTGCTTTAGCAAGTTTGATACTCCGGCAGAGGTCCTCGTGCATGACCGCGTCAGTGAATACCACCGAAAGGAATTGAAAGATGAAGAGGCGGTGAAGTGGGGCTTGAACAAGCTTAAAGAGGCGGATATCGCGCAGGATATCGCGCCGGCGGCTCCAGAATACAGAGACCGCGCAAAGGAGCGTCGCAAGGCATTCGGACGTAACGATGCCAATGCCCGCCCGAGACCCTCTGAACCAGAGGAAGAGGACGAGGCACCCGTGCAGACAGCCTCGATCGGTGCTTCTCTTCTCAGCAAGATGGGCTGGTCGGAAGGATCTGGCCTTGGTGCTCAAGGAACCGGTGTGACTGCGCCGATTGCTACAGAAATCTATGCCCAGGGCGTCGGACTGGGTGCGCAAGGAGGTCGACTGGGTGATGCAACCGAGGAAGCTGGTCGGAACACTCGGGGACGGTACGATGAATTCCTGGAGAAGACCAAGAACGCCGCACGCCAGCGCTACGAGGAGATGGACCGATCTTGATCAATCCAAGACGGTTGAATGTACAATAGGGTGGAAGTGGTGGGGGTGGTTGGGATATGAGAGGGGGATGAATTGAGAGTGAGGGGGAGATATCTGATGTTCACCTTGTGCCATAACTGGGCAGCCGATTCCATGTATGATAACGACAACTAATGAACTTGTACGATGTACTTAGGTAGTTGATTTCCTCTGCCACTTCTTGGCTATCCCTTTCCGTTTTAGTGCTCAGGCTTTGCCGCTTTTTGCTCACTGAATTCCAAAAAGCGCTCATGAGTCGTAGTAAAAGGGAATATCTTGGCAAAGTCGGTTAATAGGCCTTGGCATCTCGGTCTTTTCCGTTCCTCTCTCCTTCCACTTAACCGCGCAACCACACATCTCGCCTGCAAAAATGGATGAGCTCCGTAATCTTCACAGTCACTGGACTGGTGCCCATGTGGCTAGTTTGAAATTCAGGACCATGTTGCCTGGTAGGGGGAATAGGGGCACGTTGACAGTTTGCGAGCTGTTGAGCGAACCGTGGGCTTTTGACCCTGTGGCGTTTTAATGGCTGACGATATTATCCTCGTGTGCCCCTATTTCTACCTTTCAACTGACAAACTTTTCCAACTTCTAGTCATTCTTTTTTTGATATTTTTGGTTTAAATCACTTTCTTTGCATCATCAGTCACTCCTTAGAACTTTTCGATTGAGCAAAAGAATACGACAATCAAAGATGATGCGCTCCGTGATTTCTCTGGTCGTCTCGCTCGCTTCGCTTGTCGCTGCCATTGAAATCACCAGTCCCGCTGCGAACACGACCTACGCAGCCGGGTCCACCGTCAACGTCGAGTGGACTAGCGTTGATACCGATCCTACCAACTTCAGTCTTTATCTCTGGAACTTTGTCTCCTGGCCTCCATCTTATGTTCCGCTGGCCATCGACGTCCCCACGTCGGATCTGTCTTACTCTGTCCAAATCCCCTGCGATACCACCCCCGACTGGGGTTACCAAATCAGCGGTATCAACGGCACGAACGTCTACATCATCTACGCGCAGGGTGATAAGTTCACCGTCTCCAATGCCGACAACAGCACCGCCTGCGTGGACACTCCTTTGCCGACTACATCCATCTGCCCCAACGCTGCGGCATCTACCGTTTATGTCACAGTGAGCTCTACTCCCAGCTCCCGTCCTTTCTATCATCCATCCCACGCCCATCATCTATCCCACGTCCATCCTTCTCCATCACCTAGCACTGCCAGCATCTTGACCTCTGGATATACAAAGCCTGGAATTGTGCCTAAGACTATAGGTTGGTGCTCAGACTATTCCCACCCTGTAACCTTGGACAAGGTTCCCGCCCCGACTCCGACTCTTTCGGCGCCCAATGATACAAATGGATCTGATGCTTCGCCGGTCTTCACTACGGCACTGGGCCAGGTCACTGATTCCCCTGGCATCCTCACATTGACTATCACTAGCACTGCGACCGTGCTGGCTTGCCCGAACGTGCACACAATTTGATAGAAGTTTCTTTATCTGAGCAACCGGTGACTAGTTCTTTATGTCGATGTATTTTATGTAATACCGAACGAAGGAATTTATTTAGGGTAGATCGAAATCAATTTCCCCCTTGTACTTTTTGATTGTTTCTCGAATTCTGATCTTCTTTATTATTATTTTTTAGGTGTAATTTAGTGAAACATGGAGTCACGCTCTAGCAAGGTACTGTAAGCTAGTTAGCTTTCTCCGCGGTTATAGACTTCCTGTCGGCATTTTGGGTTTTAAGTAGCTCAATCCGACTTCTAATCTCCAATAGTTCTAAGTTCTCTAGAATTCGGGTATCTTTCCCTTTCCATTGCAATCGGCAAGCCATGCCTACTAAATGCATAATGTACAGCTGGTATCAAATCATGAGTAGAGTGTAGTGAGTGTAGTTGGTATGTGTAAGTATTTTGCAGAGTCCCCCTTCAGTTCTCTTTCGTATCCTGGTTCTCACGGAACGCCCTCTTCATCTTCTCCTTCTCCAACTGCTTCTCAAACTTATCACCGAGGATCTTAGCAACCCACTCAGTGACGTCCTTCTCAAGCTCCTCATCACTCTTCACAGGCGTATCACTACCACCCTGCAACCCGTTCCGCACGAATCTCCGCATATCCTCCAGCCCATTAATATTCAAAGCATACCCGACCGCACCGCCCGCCATCAACCCAAACGAGATCACATTGAGCGTAGCCAAATTCAGAGCCTCGAATGCGTCGCCCGCGGAGTTCGCGTGCGGCTGGTGGTACACCGAGCTTGTGTGGAAAGGCGGGATGCACGCGATGCGTTTCTTATTGAAGGAGCGGCGTGTGATTAATACCGACAGCGCGAAGAACGTCATTCCTCCGAAGAAAAGTTTGAGGTTTGTGTTTGTTTGCGGCGGTGGTTGCGCTACTTGTGTTTGGGCTGGTGGTGATGGGTTGGCGGGTTGATCGGGTGTCGCCTTGTCTTGAGGTGTTGGTTGGGGAGTCTCGGGTTTTGGGCTTGAGCCCCAGCCGAATAGTGATACCATTTTTATGCGCGGGGTGTGTGAGGGCGAGGGTTGTTTGGTTGGTGATGCGAATGCGAGGCAGAGCTGAATAAGCTGGAAAAGGATGAAAGTCGAACGATCGAGAGTTGTAGGATTGAACGGAGAGGATGACTGGGTATGATATTTTTCCGCGAAAATAACTCGAAGCACTGTATCTGTGTGGGACTTGTTTTGCTGTTCTCGTGAATGAAGCAAATCCGCGCGGAGGATATGGCGGATGTGCACGTGACCCGGTTCTCATCGAAGGTTCCAAAGTTGACTGCCTTCACGTTACGACAATTTTGTGGAAATTTGACTCATACTTCGGTGAAATGATGCCATTGCTTTCAGATAGACAGTACGCACAGGAATATCCCGTTCCGGAACTATACGAAGCAATGAATGGCTACATCTTAGATGAGGCCGAATGATAATCGAAGTTTTTAGGGCTAGAGCGTCGGCTGACTCGGGTTCTCTTGTCCTTGGGCGATTAAGTCAGATCGAAACTGTCGACCAGGCTGTCATTAAGCAAATTATCTTCTATGTATCATTAAAGCATAACGCCAATCAAATCGGAAGTATATAAAGTATGCAAAAACACCGTGGATGCAACTGTCAGAATAACAATGGCAGAAACCGAAATCCATTCAAACCATTTCAAAAAGCATTCTCATATGTTCATAATTCAGCGCGCTTCGTCAATATACTGTGCTCATAAAAAAAGTAAATCATAATAACATCAGAATAGATGCAATCCAAAAAGTCGTCAGGAAATTAATTCATATCGCCGGTGGTGATAAGCATATCAGCACGACCAGGCCGATGGAAGCGATCGATACCAAGATGCTCCTTGCCATCACGACCGACATAAATGCCAAAGCCGTACAAAGGCAGGTGGCGCTCCGAGGGCGGAGCAACAATAAGACGAGTAACGAGGTCAGTTTTGCTCCTCGGCTCGCGCAAGATTTTATCAGACAGCAGAGGCGACTGGTAAAGATAGCTCATCAGATCAGCCAAGGTTGTGATATCGTGTGGGAGATAGCGACGACGGCCCGGCCAGATTGCTATGAAAGATACGGCATATAGGCCACAGAAGGCAATCAAAGCGTAGAATGCTGGCAAATAGGCAGCGATGCGGATCTGGTCGTGGTCGGAGAACCAGAGGGCGATGAAGACGCCACCGGCGAGAATGGGGATGGCGAGAGATAGCAGGCTCATGAGGGAGATCCAGGCAACTTTGAAGTGGCGGTTGATTATGGCCTGGATGGTGACCTGGAATGGGTAGGAGGATGGGTAGGAGAGTAGAATGCTCCGTTCGGCAGATGCGCCGCTGGGGGATGAGAGCTCGGCGTATGGTTGGAGAGCTCGGAAGTATACGTCGACGGGTTGCCAGGCGAGGAAGAAGACGTTTCCGATTAGTGCGGGGATAAAGCTATATAGAAAATTGGAGGAGGAGAATGCACTTGTCGATGGGAGTGTTGGCAGCTTGGGAGGGAAGCCGCCCTCGATGGCGCTGTTGATAAAGCTAACGGCGACGAAAGCGATGAAGAGGGCGAAGACAATGAGAGTCCAAATAAATACTGGGACGTTGCGCAGGAACCAAGGTGTCCAGCGATAACGGGTGGATGGCGAGTATAGGTGGTGATCTTGTGGGTCATTGGCGAATGCACCGTTGTGCTCAAGATCAAAGCGAACCTTGGTAACTCCGTGTGGTTGATCTTCTCGGCTTTTGCCGGTCTGATGGAGAGATGGGGTGCGCACTGGAGCATCTACTTCGCCGATTCCATAGAAGATCTCGGCCTTGCTCGAGAGTTTCCAGTATCCCAGTCGAAGGACTCGGGGATCGAGGGATTCTCGCACTGAGGGAACTGTCTCAGAGTGCTCAAAATCGTGGAGGATATTTGATCGCTGAATGATCGAGACCAAATCTGCGAGGCTGACGGGATCCCACATCAAGCCAGACGAGCCACGAAGGAAACGGATGAAAAGCATGATCAGGCCTAGTGTCAAAACACCATATAATCCCACCAATGTCCAGCCCACGGATTGAACCGAAGCCCATCTCCAGACACCTTGTCCGTCAATGATATAGTACTTTGCCTGGAAGAGACAGCTGAGCAGAGGGATGGCGAAGAAGTTCGAAAGCCAAATTGTGAACAAAGAGAATCCAAACAAGGCTTCACCATGGCGGAAATGGGAGAAGTCGGGGAAGATGAAGTTCTGCGAGAGAATAGGCAGGCGGTTCATCACCAGACCTTGCCCTCGCTCTGCTGACATCATAGAAAAGGGTGCGATGCGATATACCGCAGCCTGAATAACGAATAACCAGATGATGATGATTGCGGCAGCTATCTGTGGCAGGAACTGCAGCACAAAATATCTCGAGTCGCCTTGACGCACGTAGTTCCACAATCCCTCTTCACCACGGGACCAAACATTGCAAAACACTATACCCGCTATCATGAGCAGACAGCAAAATATCGTGAGTGCCAAAGCCCACGGCCGCAGAACAAGAGGCAGGTAGTCCAAGGGAGGATACAACATGCTCTTCTCCGGCGCATCAACAGCCATGAAGGACTCGGGGTCCACTGACATTGGCGTTTGCGGCAAAGCCTGTGGTGAGGGAGATGTATACGACGGTCTCACTGGTGGCGTGTCATGTCGAATGGGGGTCCGCGTGCGGGTGAAATAACCGAGTCCCTCGTCCCATATAAGTCTATCGGTTGGATAGTCACCTGTCGTCGTGGTGGAAATAGAGTCATTCCTTTGGAGCCCCCGAGTTCTGTCTTGGGTGATCTGGTCGATTGCAAACCGGACGTATGGGGAGTCATCTGTACCTGGAGTCGGAGATGGTCCCGGGTAATCACTGGGGGATCGGCGAGAAGTCCCGTTTGATCTTGATCCATCGGATGTGGGACTGATGTGGGCCGCTCTGTCGTCTACGAACCGAACTGTGCTGGATGTTGGTGGGCGTTGGGACTCGCGATCTTCTTGGGCAAGCTGTATTTGCGACATGGCGGGTGATGGTGCATGGGAGTCTGGAGTCCTGAATCGCATGGCTGTTGCTAGACTCTCCGGACTAGAGGTTCGTTCTGAGAATGAATAGTAGTCGTCTGATGCAGCCACGGACTGTTGAGATTCTGATCGGGCAAGTTGCGGTTTGCTTGCTATATAGGAATCAGTTGACTTGAGTCCTGGAAGTTGTGCAATGTCTGTAATTAAAAAGACAACGGGGGAGGGGTTCTTATATGCACGTACTGTTAACGCTGCGCAGGCTGAAGTTTCTCGCCTGGTTCATCATGCTGGCTGGATATTGATCCCACGCGCAACGATAATTAATCTAGAAGCATTCCTCGACTCCCTTGAGATGCGAAGGGATTTTTCGAGGGCCAGCAATCGCTGCCCAGCGGGATTTTGTCTGCCATAGTGCTGGGTGACGTCTCCCAGCCACCCCAGCCACACACACTGAGATTTGCACTCAACAAACCAATAAAGATGAATTAAATTGGAGAGTTGAAACTCAGGCACTATCAATTTGATGAATCATACTAAAAATTCTATCGAATCAAAATGTGAGGAAGAGTTACGGAGGTGGTTGAGTTGTTTCGCGGCCCGATCACCAGCACATCCATCGCCTAAAGCTTGGCCTTCTTTCTCTCCAGGTCTCACCAGGTCTCACACCCGATCACCTTTCTTTTCAATTTTCCAATTTCAAGAGGTCAATTTCCACGGTAACCATCTCAAAGCCCTATAGTTTTTCTTGAAGGACCCCCCAGAACTACAATATAACCATATGGACTCTGCCTCGCGTCTACAAGTGCCACACTGGAGCTAGAAGGCAATAATTGCCAACAATTGCTGCTCTAGATAGCAGCTATACGCAATAAAAAAGCAGGGTATGTTCAAAAATTTGTCAATGGTTGCAGCACACGGACGCAGCGTGGTGTTGCAATTGTTGTTCTCCCTTGCAGGTATAAGTGGCTGGAACTAGGGCTTCACGGTCCGCCGAGCACATGAAAACATAAGGCTGTATCCAGGGCAGTATGAAACATGATCGAGGGCAATTATGTCTATTAGACAATGTTTAGGATTCGCATATCTGTCTTATTCAAAAGGAAGATTTCTGGGTTCTCGTTCGGTTATGGATAAACACGTTCAGAAAATCCTGACGTATGAATAGTTGGTCCAAGGGAGTTAGAAATCGAGAAACAGAGAGATGAACACGACTAATTATTCCGTTTGTTATTAGGTGCTGGATTTGAAATCGTCTGCCTCTACTCTGTACAACAAATAGTTATATGTGCTTTCCCGGTTCTGTTTGAAGCTTGCCATGTACCAATTGGGTGTACTGCGTAGGCTCGTTCAATTCCGATTGGTGGCCTCGTCATTTTATTTGGTGCGTCGTAAATTCGCACCATGTCCTGGGACTCTCCAAGAGATGACACTACCATCCTCTATTTGATTCTATTGATGCTATAAGCAGGCCGGGGTTATTGATTCCCTGCGCTCTGTGACTCCATTTGATGTGGATCTACCATTCTTGATCTCGAGGCCAATTCTTAACACATTCAGTGTGAAATTATTCTTATTTCTCGGCCATTATGGGAAAGGACTCTGTTCATACATGTCATGTCAGTAAGAGGTAAATCTGGCAAACTTGAGAGTCGATCAGCACGGAGGAAAGGGAAGCAGGACTTGCGCAGATTGCCAGCACCTCCAATCCCGATTCTAACATAGCGCTCTTGAATACCAGACCTCGATCGAGTATCCTGAACCCCATTGAGCCTAGGACTCTGCACTGACTGTGACTGGAGAAGAGTTACTCCGTCTAAGGTTTCTAACGGCAGTTGCCCTTCGTCGTCCTCGGATTTCTGCCGTTTTGGCCAACCGAGAAACCTCCATAGGCAGCGCATGGTTTTCAACCGGAGGAACGAGTAAACAACCTTGGTCGAGGGTTTATCAAATCAGTATTCTGACTCTTAATGTCTTGATAGATTTTACTTACGCTTGCTTCAAGGCTTCGACCAACTTCAAATGATCTTTGCATAACCCTGTCTCGTCCGGGAATAATAGCTAGTTATACGCCTAGCTAGCCGGTCCCTTTCCGTGATGCAACGGGTTACGCAGAACGAACACTGTACGACCATGAGCTTCAAATTTCCCGGAACAGCCAGAGTGGCTACTGTTTATTGATATAGGATGATATAAGAGGAAACTATGACATATCCTATATGATAATTTAGCCACCACCAGGAGATAAGTCAGTCACACATTTGAGATGGAGTAACGCATTCACTATGTGTGACAACATATGCCTGTAGTTTTTGCACGATTCACTAAAGCCTCTAAAGCCTCTAGAGACCAATGTGAACAAAGGGTTTGTCAAAATGGAAAAAATCCGGAGGACTCCTATTCTATTTACCTCAAAAAAGATCACCGTTGATATACTTCTATTTCATTCTAAAGCAGTATCTTGGGGATCAAATGATCTAGTGGTGTGTCCAGGTTGCAATGGTCACACGACTGTGACGCGATAGTGAAACCCCATTAGGAACTATTGGTCCATGTGGTCACAAGCTTAAGGTTAATGACCTGAAGATATCAACTGCATTCGGAGAGAGCCTATGTAGTACCTTGCATTAGCAAAAGAACGGAAGCTGATCATGATCAAAGATGATCAACCTTATCTGGTCTCCAACAAATAGAATGACATTTGGATATCCAGTTAGGGATTTGAGGTGGACCTGTTTCATATTTTTTAAAAAAGGTGGGACTGTGGGCCTCCGACGGTGATACTGAGAGTCCGGAGTTCAGGCCCAAGCGTTTCCGGGGCTAAATATCCCGGCTGATAGCAGAAATTGCTGTGCCGCGTTAGTGGATCAGACGGTGGCGAGATTGCGAGCAATGTTTGAAGGGTGTGCCTATGGATCGTAATATATGGCATATCATATGGAGACTTTTTAGAAACACAGATCTTGTTTCACCATGGATAAGATGAGGCTTCTGAAACCATGTACATATTGGCTCTTTGAAGACCCTAATCCGAAAGGAGAAATGAACTTCAGTCACTTGGTAGGAAAGGCAGGACCCAATCAAACACGGCAGAGAAAAAGTCGTGTTTCCTTACGCCGGTACAAGAATCAAGGATTCAAGAAGTTGGCAAAATAGCCAGCGGGTATAGCCAATGATCTTGCACCAGCCCCGATTGCTCCGACGGCCTTGGCAACCCCGAAGTGGCACTTCAACCGCGAAGGACGAATGAGAAGGCAGAACAGCTCTGCGCCAACGTCCCCGGCATTCCAGAGGGGAACCGTGCAGCGGGGCAAATTATTTAGCCTCGCGTTTGGATGTTCAAAGGATTGGAAGAGGAGGTCAAGAGAGAATAGAAAGCTTGATACGAGGAATGACAGAATAATGTACAGAGTAGATAGGAGGGAGTACGTGTGTTGTAGAAATAAAGTGGCATCATCTGACTGCTGCCTGAGGCCAGAAATCCAAACCTCCTCTTCTCTCTCTCTCTCCGCAGATTCTCTGGTTTATCTACGCTCTCGTCATTCCTTTATTCTTTTTGAGTCCGTCGATTCTTTTGCTTCTTTGAATTTCCTTCGACTCTTAAATTCTTGGCTTTCCCCTCATTTGCTTCTTCTTTACCCCTTCTTTGCTCAGAAAGCTTTTATTTCGATCACGGGTTCAGATGTCCCCAGCCAATGTGGTGTTAGAACCTCAGCTCTTGCGTCGCGTGTGCCATTAGGCCATTAAAAAATAATCGCTTGTCTTGTCCCTATCGGATTTCTCCTTTGGCCTGGAAAAGAGAAGGTTGGCCTCTTAGGGTCTTCCCTCACCATGTTGCTCAAACCCGCGACACCCCTCACCATCTTGCTGCTGATCGCCTTTGCGCTTTTGCTACTCTCATGTATCTCAACACCTATTGTGAAGGGAATTCCTTTAGCAACTTTCAAAGATGTCGATTATGGCGTCTTTGGATATTGCAAGGGTAGTACCTGTACCAATATCCATGTGGGATACACGAGCAGTAAGTCTCCCCCCTGCGTGTCTGCCTATTCTCCGCTAAGTTTCATGCAGATGATATAAGTAGCACAGGCGATGATTTCAATCTCCCTTCCGGTACTCGAAAGTCACTGTCCTCGATCCTCATTATCCATCCAGTCGCCGCCTTCCTGACCCTCATTTGCCTCTGCCTGGCCATTGCGGCCCACTTTCATGCGCCCTCCCACTCGCCGCGCTTCCTGTTGGCGCTTCTCATCTTGTTGCTGCCAACACTACTCGTGTCTCTCCTCGCATTCCTCGTCGATATCTTGCTCTTTGTACCACATCTAGGATGGGGTGGTTGGATTGTGCTGGCCGCGACCATCATCCTCACCTCTTGTGGAGTGGTCACCTGTGCCATGCGCCGAACCCTTGTGAGTCGGAAGGCAAGGAAGCGTCGGATCGCGGAAAATTCTGAGATGAGCGGAGAGAACTATTATAACCGACAGAATGCCGCTGCGGCTGCGGCTGCGCCCCCTGTTCCGGCTCCCATTGACCCCAAGGAAGCCTTTGTGTCGCACTCTCTCAACTCCGACTCGGGCCCAACATTCGCATCCTTCCACGTGGAAACGCGCGACAGTGATGACGATCGAACACCCCTCAACTCGCGGACTCCCATGAGCGATATCCCAGCACAACCGGACCATCACGGTGCTCCCTATCGCGGCCCGCAAGATGAATTTGGCAATATCCCGCCTCAGGGCCCGGGCCCGTACGGTGCTGGTCTAATGTCACGGAATCCCTCCGATCCCCGGGTTCGCCCCCAATATTCCGATGGCAGTATGGGTTCTCGAAGAGGAGGCGCGCCGCCTGGCTTCAATGGACGCGGGCGGGGTGGGTACCCTCCCCGGGGTGGACGTGGTGGACGCGGTGGACGTGGAGGACCTTACATGGGACATCCTCGCGGCCCCCCTGGCTCCCAGGGTGGCTACATGGGGCCAAATCCAGGCCGTGGAGGTCGCGGTGGAATTATGCCACCCCGGGGACCACCAGTCGGCTATGAGTCCGGTCCAGGCGGCCCCAACCGCGGTTTCGACGCATATGGTCGACCTGTGTCGCCTCCCATGGATGATCCTTACAGTTATGGGCCACCAGGTCAGATGCACCAGCCACCTCCCGGGCCCATTGGCATGGCCGTGTCACCGGAGACGGTAGGCCAAGCCATTGAGATGACTCCGCAATCTCGCCCGCAGTACGATATGCATGAGTCGACTCAACCAATGAGCAGCGTACCGCAAACACTGTCGATCGAAAACCACGGTGCCGTCCCTGAAAGCCCGACAAGCATATACAGCCGACCGAAGTAAGTCGGAATGCTACGAATACCGTTCCTAAGTTGACCACTAACCTTTGTTTAGTTCCTATGATCCTCCTCGCTCGGGCTGGGGTGCAAATGATCCTCGCACTGTGACCCCGCGGCCACCGCAACAAAACAACATCAGTACCAATTACTACGAGGACGTGGATCCCCGTTTCGCCCGTCGGCCATCGCCCCCCACTAACCCTGGGATCCCCCCCTCTCTGACGCCTGGAGCTACTCACTGTACGTACACTCACAGATCACACGTGTTGAAGGAGCCTTGCTGACATTCTCCTAGTTTCATGAAATCTATCGGTTTCTAAGTGTTAATCACGTTTGACACGATTCTTCCACCTCTTCTATGCTTTGCGATACCCTTTGCTTTTCTTCTTTTCTCTGGCTAAATTCCGATTACTTTTTTTCCTCCGATTTCATGGCACACTAGGTCATTTTGGGGAATGGAGTTATGGTGTCCTTTTATCTTCCCATTCCTCTATAAATGCCCTCTCTTGAGACGGCAAAACAATCCGCCACAAAACACGGCGTTGAGAATAGTAATTCTTTTCGCTGCTCAATTGTATTCTGCCTGGACTTCCATGTATAGCAGCAGGCAGATACGATGTACAGAAACAAATTTCTAAGATGTCTGGCTTTATCCAAGATCAACAGCATATGACGCTGCTACTGATTTGAACTTTTTTGTGTTTTCTTCCACTGAGTGGACTGTGAATTTTATCTTACCCGAATCCATGTACATTTCTGGTCTCTAGTACATTTGTCTATTCGCAATTTCCAAACATAAATAATTAGCTCTTCTGTGATCTCCGCATATGATTGAAACCTTCTCTCTCCAAAAGAAAGATAACCCTGTGCTATAACATAGATCGAGATCTTCAATCCTCCTTGCCAATCATGAATGGGAGTACTAATTCAGTCTGAATCGACATGAGAACAAGCCCAATGTCTCTGGTGGCGAAGATGACGACGAGGTATAGATGATTCGTGAGCGGAGCTGGCTTGATGAGATGAGCATGTTGCTTCGAGAGAAGCGTGAAGTTGAATGTGTGCTTAGGGTATTTCTAGAGGGTCTAGATTGGGAGTTGAGGAAGGCTCAACGGGATTATTGTCTGTCCGAGAAGGAGCAGGGGTCTAGGAAAATGATAGCAAGGAAGGGACGATGAATGATATCCTTGTTCTTTCCAAGTCATAGCTCAGGTTTGGGGTTATTCCTCTTTTGTTTTGTAGAGTTGACAGGAAACAGGGGGAACGGACTGCTTCATCGCGATAGACTAGGTAATCGCAAACATATTACGCTCATATTACATTTTTCATGGTTTTAGAGGCTCTAACTGGCTAGGCACTATGTACTGATTCTCACTTTGCCCTTACTTTTTGTTGAATCTATCGAATATAACTTTCATATCAATTATGACTTACTCCGATACGGTCTTACATTGTCACTGGATTTGAATTCAAAGAAGTATACAAACAATATCAGCTTATGGCTATTGATACCAGGCAAGCATTGGTTAGGCTGCACTAACATTATTCTATTCATTTTATAGAGTCCCTGAATTACTATTTAATATGCTACCCAGCACGTTGAACTTTCAACTCCTTCAACAACCACGATCACATTGGATACCTACTACAACCCAAGAACACAACCAACAAGGTATGACCCCTTAGCCCATGGCCAAGATTTGGTATGAAACAATGAGCTAACTAGGTCTCTGGTTACATTGCAGGTTGAGCATCATCAACCATTCTCCAAGTCACAGACATAGCCTATCCAATATTCCCCAACCAGTGAGATAGAACTATTTCTCATCCTTCAAAAACATAGCTAACAAGCTTAAAGTGACCGATACTCGGCCCATTCCGTCGCCCAACAATGCGCAGCTAGAGCATCTAGCAAGGCTCACAAGCCGTGCAAATCATCGCGCTCGTGAGTGCCGAAAGATAGACCAGGAGATATCGCGGATTACGAGCAACAAGGAAGCTACAATGACCGCGAATCCATACTTCCACTATACTCATAATAATGTCCTAGCGGCCATGGACAGAGAATTGGTGTCTCTCTGCAGAGAATTGAGGGATATGAAGAAAAAAGAAAAAAAAGAGGCCATGATGGAGCAGGAAATCTGGAACCAGATTGGTTGAGATGCCGAAAATGAGAACCAAGGCGTTAAGAGTTCGACGCCTATAATGGACAATGCCCTTCCCGGCTCTATCCTCGATATTATTGCGTTTACCAATAGTGCTACGAATTCATGCATTCATAGATGTATTTATTTGAATCTTCCATGGGTAGATCTATAAGGTCAATCTTCTATGCTAGACCGAAGCGTATATATCGTTTCTAGTTAATACAATGACAGCACACTCAATAGCGCTACTATTTCCCTTTGGGGTGGCATTCTCACAGATATGGGCATGTCTGGTATAGATTTACCAATCATGAGAAGTTTCAGCTCCAGTCAAATTATCGTATGCTCGTAGCTCGCATTTGATACTGAGAACTGAAAAGCTCTAACAAATGCTAGAGCTATGTGACAGCTGGTAACTACATCACACGGCAGTCTAGATTGAAGTACCGAGAAATCCACTATCTAGTAGACTTAGACCATTAAATTATATTGAGATGGTGCGATATCAGTGTCTGATATGTAGAATACAGGAAAAATCCGGTACCATGCCATTTCTGCGCCACATCAACAAGTCCACCAGAACAACTTGATGATAAAAATTACCACAGGGTACCTGTGTACTGCCACTCGACACCGCTCAGGAACCCCGGAAATTTATTTTGGTTACTAGTCTCCATTAGGAAATAAAGAGTATAAGGATAAGAGATTTGTTGATGTTTAGATTACTGAGTATGGGTATAATGAGATTGGTTGTTTCATAATGTATGCATTGCTTGACTATCTACAATATATCGGAGGTTTATCTGTTCATTGCGCATATGGATCGTCGGCCCGATGCTGGGCCGTCGGACATCTCCTCAAGTCACTTGATATTCGATCATTTCAATATGATTCATAAATCCACTAGTTCTCCTATCAAAATGACGATCTCCTTAGCCACTATGAGCACCTCTCTAACTTCTTCCAGGACGTTCTTTAAAACATCAACGACCGCCAGTAAATGTCTCCATCTCTGTTGAAGTCAATGCATCGGGGGTGGCGGAAAGTGGCAATATCATGGGCGTAGATAATCAGTAAATTGATCGTCCAACGAATGCTGGCTTCATTAAGTGGACTTTTGGAGCGGGCGGCATCGACTTTCGTTAGGACACTCTTAAGCTTGGTCGAAGTCGGAATAGAAAGGATATACGCAAGCTCCTCGTCTTCTTGGGTTGCGTTCAGATTCAGTATATCGACTTTCTTAGTATCAAGGTCGCCGACGGCGAGGGTTGGCAGCTTCTGAGTTTCCCTTCGTGAGTCGTCTCGAGTCAGGCGACCGTCAAGAAAGTCTTGTACCATGGTGGATACCTGCTCAAGTTCATTGTGATGAGCCTTGAAAATGAGGTCGAAGACCTTTTGTCGAAGGTTGAGTTTCAACGGCAGGATGGTTTGACTTGGAGGATTAGATGAATAGGAAATAATACGGTTGTGCCATCTCACAGGATGGAGCTCCCAGCGAAGGCGCGTTTGATACCACGGAGTCGACGCTGCTCTGAACCAGTCAGACTATTTCCAGAAAATTTGCCCTGGTATCCTTACCATATTTTATATCGGAGTGCAGTTTACTAGCAACATCTAGTGAGAGGTGTGCGACGTCGACAATGTATGCAAATCCTCGGGGAGGTACAATACACGAATAACATATCGTACAGTTTCAAGCACTGAGCTACCATAGGTGGTAACTTGGAACCCTGTTCATAATCAGAAATCATCTTAGCTCAGAGACATCGATAGTAACCGGTGGGTCGGCTGTATCAACCAGCCAGTGCGACTGAGACCATCTCAATTTCTGCTCATTTGTTGAATTTGACCTATTCGGAACAGATCCATTGTGTAACGGCCCGATCACCTTGATGGGATGACAGGCAGAGAATCTGCTGGAGAACCTACATTCATTCTTCCAATCCCCACTGCAGGACACTGATACTGAAAGGCGGGGCCTATTGGAACCCCGACTTGTGCATGCGATTCGAGGTGTCTCTTCGAGCATAGACTTGTACTTGCTCTAGCTCCTCCTCCAGATGTACTGGATGTTCCTCACTTCTTTCTCCTCGGCATTTTGTTTGAATGCAGTTAAAAATGCAGCACAGGATTGTAACTTACTGACCATTCTATAGTAAATATTCGGACTCTTGGTGGTTTTTATATAATGAAGGAAAACGGCAAATGACCAAAAAGTAAGAGAGCAGGGAAGAAGGATTGATTCCTAAAAGAAAAAAGAATCGGCTAAATAGCCAGTGGAAGCCTAACAAACCAGGCATCAAGGCATCTTCAAAAAGGAAGATCCCTAGTTAGGTACTCCGTGCAGTTCGGATTTTCACACACACCACCACAGGCTTAGTGAATCAGTCGTCTCTAGTTATAATTGCTTCGCTTCGCTCCTCAATGATGAATATAGTTTGAAACTGCCATAGCAAAGCCAAAGTTGCGAGTACACTCTCGGTCGAAGCATATCCAGAACCCAGATTATTTTTCTTTCCCGAATCCACGTTCCTATTTGGCCTTCTTTTTCGACACTTCCAGGCAAAGGCTCCAGTGCAAGCTTTTATTAACCTCGCTTCCTTCACTCGACCGTCAAAATGGATACGCAATAACAGCAGCTTCGTGCTGAGCTCAACCACCCTCTGTTAACCCTCTCTTCTTCCTTCTTCTTCCTTCTTCAACCTCTCGCACTTCCAATAATACGCCTCCCACCAAAGGTGAGATCCCGCAGCCCATGGCTAAGACTTTCGGCGAAACAATAAACTAACCGAGACTAATCTTTTGATAGGCTAACTACCTTACTACCTCCCCAACCAGAGAGGTACACCCCGCGATGCACCGTTCTTAAGCGCGGTTAAAACATAAAGCTAAGAAGGAGACAGTCACCGACGAGAGGCCAATCCTACCACCGAACGACGAGCAGCTATACCAGCTTGAAATAGCTAAGGCTTCGGGTAACGAGCTCGTCTTCAAGGAATGTTGCTACGGGAGGCGATATACCAAACGGGCTATCTCGAGAATTTCCACATACAACCAAATTGTATGACGAGACCCAGGCTGAAGTGACCACCAACCATGCCGTGCTCAATAAGGGAGTGCGTGGTGTGCCAGACAAGAAATGGTACGATCTGAGAGATCTCGGGAAGGACCGACGGACCGTTCTTGCCTGTATTCCGTCCACTGCGATTGGTTCCCGTCCGGCTTCAAACCCACAATCCGATTTCCGAACCGAACTCGACCCGACCAATCACAATGGTCGGCCCGCGACGAAGCCCGATAGTCTTTCCCGGGAGGCTCCAAATCAGCCTCGCTGATCTTGAAGGGGAAATAGTACTGGTGGTCTTACTAGATATACTCTTGTGAATGTTTGCTATCGGAACTCTGACTCTCTACCTACATCATGGGGAGACACAAATTTCACTTTACTTTTACCTTTTATTAAGATTATGTTTCAACGAGCCCATCAAGAATCCCTTCTCTATCTATTATTTACTCTGTATATATTCAAGCAATATACCTAGCTTCCAAGAGATCAAAATGCTGAGAACGAGGTTGTGGCTACAAGCATTGACTAGGCTTTCGTTCTTGGGGCAATATTCGCGCTCACTCCTTCGCGTGTTTGTTGGAAGATCCCACACAAGACTCTTCTCTTCTTCTCTCAACAACCTTGGACTGCTCTACATATACTACTGTCGCCACATTGCAACGACTCAAGGTATGACTGGTTGGTACATAAGGATCATTTGTGATGAAAGAATAACCTAACATTAGTAATGGTATAGATCAAACTTTATCATACCTCTCAAGGCCGCAACACTCATCTATCCCACCCTGCCAAAAGTGAGATACACGCCCTCATCTCGAAGCTGTATTCCTGACCGTCTTCAGAGAGCTGACAAAGAAAAGTGGCCGATAGTCAGCCGATTCCGGGCCCGAACAACGGGCAGCTGGAGATGCTAACCCAGCTGCGCCTTATTCGGACCACGCTAGCTCACTCTCGAAGAACGACAATGCGACAGGCAAGGATGATAATTCGCCGAGTACAACTTCTGACAAGCCAATGTGCCGCTGACGGCCAGGCCCCTACTCCTCACGCATTGTGGAGGCTCGAGCGAAGGATACAGTCTCTATTTCGCAATATTCTCAGATTGCAGGCTGAACAAGAGGCTGCCCGTGAAATTGAAGTGGAGATATGGAGGAACGTGCGATAAATCACCAAGTCAACGATCTACAGCCCTATAGAGCCTTGAGTGGATCACAATATCAACATTGAATATTGGAGCAAATGCCTCTTTATCTTTCATTAGTTGTTTCTCTTTGAAACGGATATAGAATACGAGAGAATTTTTGCATTAGAACCGGAGAGCAAGCTGAGCGCGCCTTAATATGGGCTATCTACATACTCCGTCTTTACAAAGTAAGTGCTATTGTTAGGTATCTCAGGGCATTTTTAATGATATAATTGCAGTTCGAAAAGTTCGATGACTCTGAGCTTGCGCTCTGGATGAAAAATTCCCCTGATCATACAGACATTGATTACGAGTACCAACCAAAACCAATGGATAATACTCCTCCAATATCAGAGCACGAATCCACGAAACGATTCTACGCTTGTCACAAATCACGGCAACCCTTTCACCTGCATCGTCGATGTTAAATGCTGGGGATACATTCTTCTGACATTTCAAAGTTTCCCCTAAAGAAAAAAACCTGGCTTGAAGAAGCAGGTGATAAGCGAGAAAATTTCTGGGGGATCTATGCGCGCGAAATCATCAGCCAACGGTGGATCATCTTATAAACTTGTTTGTGTTTTACCTCTGTTCGCATTCTTCTTGGCATGGATTGTACCCCGAGGGCTTGACACAGACTTATAGAACCTATCTATCCCGCTCTCGCATTGAAAGATCAGCTGTCTATTAGAATTTAAAAGATAATGTGCGATATGCTTTCAAAGAAAATGGGTCTGGGGGAATCTGTAAGATTTATATGCGGTTTACTGTACGCGATTGCTATGCTGTCTCTATCCCGAGGGCGCTTCCTCAGCTCGATATGTGAGCTTATGATTAGCTAACCTCTATAGATAGAAAGCTCTCGCAGCCGCATAACTGGGCGGCTACCTATAGCATCCTACTGGTTATGGTCTTTTTGCTCTTCATTAGCATGCTGCTGAACCCGTTCTGAGCCTGCGAGGGCTTCCCAGTCTTTAAGAAGAATATCGGAATAGCAGCCACGTACCAACTGTTATCGAAGCCCCGTATGGCTTCTAGATTGTCGTACCGGATACTCCATATATGACAGCAACCGGCCTGAACAAATTGTACTTTATCGACACCCGTTTCAATTATAACACCGCTCAGCATATCAAGACTCAGATTGAAGAAGCAACCATACCAATCCTGGATGAGTATACCGCTATAGACGAGATTACGGTCACAATACCGCTATAGACGAGATTACGGTCACAATAGAACGGAGAAATGGCGAAACCGGCGAAACGACATTTGTATTCTACCCTCCTACCCTAGGGTTTTGTTTGCGAGTGGGATAAAGAGGCGTAACCTAGAACACAAATTACCTAATGCAGTGGGGGTTTCCAGAGCAGGATGACTAAGCGGCTATGTGACATAAAAGCACTCCCGAGGCATAACTAGATAGCAACGCAGACACCTTTCCACCTTCACTTCTCAGTAGTCATGGTGTTCTCCTCGCTAGCACCCTACTACTCCCAGTGATGGTTCTGCTCTCACACCTGTTTCGCAGGCAGGGCTGTCGGTGCCCCTGTCCCGGGGTCCCCTCTTCACTAAGTATGAATTTGCTGGCCTACAATCTGGGTGAGATAACAGGTGAGACAAATACTACTTAAAAGAATAAGATAAAGACTAATATTAGTTAGTGATAGAGGCTTATTTCTTGATAGGCAATATTTTGATAAGCCGGGTTAATAAATAGGTGGAATGTTCAGATTATGGATGCTACAACGACGCCCACTGTAGAGAACAATCTACAGCATGTGTTATCTGCCAAAAATTGGAGTCGACAACGAGTGTATCGCGGGCGCCAATATTAATGCTATTGGGACGTGCCATCGGCTTTGTACGAGAGCTATCGACACACTAAAGGAAGATGGTGAGACGGATGCCAGCTATCATGCACGGATGGACAAATCGCACTGGCATTGAAGACATTATGTGACGATATGGGCGGAATGGTATCATTTTCATTTGTGGACGAATTGGTATGTTTGCGGGTAGATCAGATGAGTTGGCATTTGTACGTAGATTAGACGAATTGGTGGGGCAATCTCGGAATAGCATCATTTTTGACATGTATGGGCAGATTGGCATTTACATATAGATCAGACAAATTGTCGAATGTTTACAGATAGATCATTGGTATGCTTGGCAATATCTATGAGTTATAATTGGACGAAAGCGCTGTAATAAGAATATAGGATGAAATTGCATTAATCATATAGTGGCCTGTTTGTCTTATTTGCCTTAGATTTCGGCCCGAAGCCCGACCCGTCGACGGGTCGGGCCGGGTCGGGTTTTGGAGAAGTCTACCTCTTCTTACCTCAATTCTAGTCCTCAACAAAACGCCGGTAGCTTGGGTTGGCCCCTTTGTCTTGCATTTAATGTAACGTGGGACAGGGATAATGCCATGGCAGCATCTTCGCTAGACCCAATTTTTATTGGCCCCTTATCGCGCCAATTATATTTCTCTAAAGCTGGGTTTGCCTGACAAAGCTCTTCTTCGTAAAAAGCAACTGGCTTTCACCCTGGCTTTCAACACAAGGAAAGAATATAAATACTATAACCCGAGTCTTCCAATATTCACTCATCATGACAATAATCTATCTCCGGTTCTCGAAGAACCCTGCTCCTGTTGAAGATATTGCCCTCGTCACCAAGACTCTTCGAGACATCAACCCAGGCCTAGACGAGACCGAGCGTACCGAGGATACCATCACCTTCTCTTCTCCAGACCACGACGTCGACATCTTTGGCGAAATCTTCGAAGAATGGCTGCATTCAGAACCCCCAGTCATCACAACGTTTCGAATGCTGGCCGATTCTTAACGGCTGCCGTCAGCCTCCTGACATTATTCGGATCCGTGTCAGCGTTGGCCCTGCCTCCCCTTCTCGAGCTTACGACGGACTCCGTGGATCTACAGTCTACATATACTTTCAACTGTTACTCTCCTGGCAAGGCATGCAGGGGGAATGGGGACACTACTGGTGGTGGTTCTTCTACGGAGGGCTGCACGCCCATCAGTGCGAATGGCTGTAGCCAGTATTCTTTCAACAGGGGTGGGCAGTTCAAACTCTGTGTCTATGATAACAGAGGATGTACCGGTAACACCGTTACAAGTGTCAATGGTGGCTCAGTGACCTGTCTTGGAATTGAAAATGCGGGTGGTTATAAGGTGATCAGAAGAGATACCAACTGCTAGAAAATTCCGGACATCAGGCTAGCCGAGTTCCACGGCAAGGTGCCTTGCAAAAAAACCCATTATCATGATGGTCCCTAAAAGCCCTCGTAGAGGCCGTTTCTGGCGTCAAAGGCCGTCATTTTCGGCGTCGATTTCACAGGTCCCCATATTCTAGTTGTAATTCCTTGGCCAAACTTCTTAGTCTCTACCACTTAGTCTTTTGAGTTATTCAATTAGTGAGCTCACATTCAATGATATATTCAGGGAGCCTAGGTGGTCGAGAGTTATTAAACTCAGGCTTACATTGTATCTTTGAACCTTTGTTGTGGGGCTCTCCATTGTCTACATAGACACCATTGAGTTTCGTCTGTTTTTGAGAAATGGGAGTTTAACTATCATTACTGGGGTATAGGCGACGATTCGGTCCTCTGGATTACACCTTTCCTACTATAAGGTTTTAGACTTGTACATTTTGGATTGAGCCAAGAAAAATGGAGGAAAGCCCCCGAATCTTGAAAAGAGGAGTTCTCTCCGGAGATGGCGGCCTATTAATCACCACAATCCTGGCCCCTTTGAATAGATACCGGAATCTATCACCTGGAGCTATATCATCTGGAAATGAAGTCACTTTGCGGGTGAATGACCAGGATTCCCCGGGTTTGAGCGTGCAGAAGTTATCATCGTCATTGCGGCCAACATTGAGTGGGGTAGGTTCAGTGATAAAAAGGCCAAGCTGGTGCGTTCTCCATTCACACGGAGTCCAACCATCATTTCCTTTTCTATATAGCCTGTACCCCTCGTCATGATTATCGGATTGTTTGAAGATGAATGAACGAAACGCCAATGCTCTGCCGCTGTGTGGTGAATATGCCTCCACGTTATATGAGACGGTGACAGTGAGAGGGTACCGCGGCATCGTGGGAAGTTGGTCTTTCATTGATAGGGTGGCAGGGCCGGCGATGCTAACACTGAAAATAGGGACACCGCTTACACGGGCAGATGGTGAAATGGCGCGTGGTGAAGTTGGAAGCGGATAATCAAAAAATTCAGGATCACTTTCGTAGTTCAGCGTCATAAATGACAGGTATGAGGGACCGGGAAGTACTACTGGGGGGGATTTAGGGACCAGTGTACGTCCACTATGTTCCGCCAGCGTCCCCCAGTCCCAGAGAGGGATTTGACCACCTGGCCAGAGGATTGAATAGGGTGCATCCGGACCAGCACCGACAAAATTTACAGCTGGAAAGGGCGTCTTCCAGGAGACGCTACTACCCGGGATGAGCTCCCTAAAGCAAGGATCCAATGCGGTTACTTCTCGTGGAATGAGGAGCTTTGTAGGCAGTTTTTTTGGGTCTTCTACCTCTTGAGCTCCAGGCTGTGCGTTCCATGGCTGTCAGTTTGATGGTAAAGCAATATCGTACCCGACGGACCACAGCCGTCTTCGAGGGGGTTCCAATGAATGATGCATGGTCGTGTTTGGGGATTGTCTGCAGCCCGCGTAATTGTGAAGAGGATATTGTAAATTGGGTCGTCCACCCCCACGTCAGCAGTTGAATCTCCTTCAATTTTGAGCGTGAGGTGGGGTGTGTCTGATCTGTTCTAATTAGTCTCTTTTTTTCTAGTTTCAAGGGGGATCTTCTTACATTCTGTCTTTCTTGGAATATTTCACGAAGGGTAGCAACTGCTGATCATTCAGTTCTTCCATGTGGATAATTTGCCAGACTTGCGATTCTCAGTGTCGGAGAGTTGAAAGGTCGGAGTTGAAAGTTGGACACATCACATGACCATGGTAGACCTCGGCATCAGCTACCATAGCCCTGTTGATGTTTAGATTACTGAGTATGGGAATAAAATGATCTTAGTTGTGTATTGCTCAAGACTGTCTATCTATCTGGGAGGTGGATCCTCGGCCCGATGCCCAGTTCCACTCAGTCATATCCCAGATTACTTGGTCATTTCAACAAGCCATATATAACAGAAGGGTAGATCTCCCAATAGAAAGGAAAAGGAAATTGAGCATGGGCATAAGCAGTTGAGGGCCATATAATAGGTCAATAGAATCCGTTTGCCTCAATGCTGCCTTTGTTTGTCATTTGTATTCTGCCAGTGAGCAACAATAACCAAAAATGCAAAATGAATATTTACCTAGGTTGAGATTGTGCTGAAACAGCCCATGATATAGTCAATCCAGGTGTAGTTCTAGTATCCCCTTGAATAGGTTACTAGCTCTTAGTTATGCCCTGATGCCCTGGTCCATGAGATATGGTATTGCTTTGCCTTTAGAGACTACAGTCCACATATCCTTTCTTCATAGGTCTTTCAAACAGCACATCTTCATTATCTTAAAACCGCCTTGTCTGATAGATAATAGAATTATATACAACTCATCATTCTTTCATTCATAAATAAGTTGTACAGTGAGGTGAATAGCAGTCATAGAACTCTTAGCGCGGTACACACGAGTTCTTCTATGCATCATTTGATTCAAACTGACATCCATAGACCTGATCAAGTGAAGAATAAGGTGTTTACCTATACCGCCCCCAATGAAATACCATGCTCTCTCACTTCTGATCAAATACACAACACTTGCCACACTCACCATCACACAATCAAGTGAACTTTCTACCATCTCAACGCGATTCTTGTATGCAGAGATCTCACATGAGCTTCTTCCATTCCACAAAGCTCACACACTCCAGGATACCATTCAACAGATACCATCCAACATCCCACCCACTCCTCCACAATGAAGTACAAAAGACCAGGAAACGGTAAACCAAATGCACAGCAGCCCCAAGACACGGGCTATCACTGCACCGTGTGCAAAAGCCGGCAATTCAAGACAGAGCAGGGCCTAAGTGACCATTTCAAACGTCAACACAGCATCTTCCCATGCCCTGACTGCAACGAGATCTATGCGGCTGCAGTTGAACTAGCCGAGCATAGATACTCAGCACACAACAAGGGAACCTTCAACAAACGATACAGAGTATCACCCAACAACCACTTGCCAACAGCCAAAGGCAACGCAACAAGCCGACCTAGGGCTGCTTCCTCGCCTGCCATACCAGGCTTCCTTTCTACAAAGGTGTCTGTGCATCTCCGTCTCCCACCTTCTCGCACCCGCTCAGCTTCACGCGCGTAATCGCGCGTACCTTTCACACACAGCTGTGATCCAGCAATGCATGTCCCTCAACTACCTAATCAGGTCCCCCGGGAGACTGAGTAGGGGCAGTACGCACGCGCTTCTTCTGACCATACGCTGGGGTCTTCGGACCGCGCGATGAATCCGGTCAAGGCCCTCATCCATCAATGCAGGGCCATCAAGTCTTCGTGGGTATGGGCTTCAAGCCACTAGCACCACCCATCGAAGGCCTTCACCACCTGGTGCAAATGTACCAGGTTCCCAGCCAGGTAGGATGGCGATTACGACTGGGATATCAAGCACCCCCACACATCTACCATACAATACACTGGGTTAGGGATTGCTGAGCTGGGCGTGGATCTACCAGATGCACGTGCCGTGCTTTGCCAGTATATAATCCAGGTCGCAGTGCAAATCGACCACGCTCTGTACCACAACCCGTGAGCCCTAGCCCTGGCCCTGGCCCTGGGGCTAGTTCATGGGTGTGGTGCTGGATACGTTCGTGGTAGCCGCTGAGGCATGTTTTCCTATATTTCCCGCACGGGTAGGCGCTGAAGATTCTTACGCGCGAGCTGCTGGGGATGCGGCTGCGGCTGCGGCTGCGAGGGGAATCATGTGCTAGGCGGTGCGCACGCATAGCTGAGGCTTTGATATGGTGTTTGTGTTCGCTGGAGTGTCTGATGACATGGGCGGAGCAGGCCGAGTGGAGTGCGGCATGGTGGAGGGTGTTGGCGCTGAAGATATTCGCACGCGGACTACTGAGTATGGAAATCCTGTGCTAGGCGATGGATGCACTTCCATTGCTGAGGCTTTGTTATGGTGTTTGTTCGCCGGAGTGTCTGATGACCTGGCTCGATGTGACTTTGAGTGTATGGCAGCATGGCGGTGCTTGCACTGTTGCTGTCCATGCCTGGTCCTAAGGCACTCCGGCGAATTGACAATGAGGGTGTGTGGTTCTCGGGTCGCTCTGAGCCAAATCATCCATCCCCGTACTGATCGTTGTCTCTGGTCGATTGGTCCGGCTAGGGTGGTGGATCATCACGCGGATTGACAGTGAGGATCACAGTGATGTTTTGAATTGTTTGAATGAAGAAAACCAATTTCATTGTCTCCTCGTAAGTGGAAAACATGAAAAGAATAACCACCTCCTGTATTACTACGTGGAAAAACAAATGCGTAATTAAGTATGGTCACTATTGAAAACGGTACTAAATCACAACGGAAACAAAAGAAAGAAACATTGCAATATTGGTGATGGGGGAATTAAACGCCAACTTTACAGAAACAGGTAAGAAAAAGACATGTAAAGCACAAGCAGACAATCAGACAGTCAAGCCAATAGGAGTAAGACTGCTTGAAAAAATAAAGAAGCAAAACACTTGATATAGATATGAGAACACCTCCATTCTCTATGCATGCATCAAAGAGCCTAGAAACCAAAATCCAGCGCTAAACACCTTGATCCAGATGGATACATAACAAGGGCATTAACGTGTTCAAAGAATACTCCGACTGGCCTGGCTACGGCCTGCCTGGCTGCGGCTAGCCAAGCTAGCACGGCTGGGAGTCGTGCGACTATGCTCGTCTTCCTCAAGAACATCGCTCAGACGCGTGGGATGACGATGGCGTGGTGTCACAGATTCCCACCCAGTGCCGGGGCCCCATCCAGCGCCGCTGTAGTCCGCGGCGGAGGCCGGCGCCGGCGGAGGGACGGACGAGGGGGCAGAGGTATATGCGCCCTCGGGAATATAGTGTTCGTCTAGCAGAGAATGTTCATACTCTTCGCTTTCCTCTGAAGGAGGGCCAGGTGGGTAGCTTAAGGAGTCACCATGGGGATCGTGGGGGTAGGGGGCATATTCTTCATCGCCCGCTTCGCTGCTGCCGACGTAGGAGCGCGCGTCGGGTTCTGAGGTTGCGGGGTACGGAACCGTTGTATTGTCGTGTGCATACAGTGGACGCGGATAGGGGACTTTTGAGGTAGGTGGGTCAACCTTTTTGGGTTCGATGAAAGGGTCGGATCCCGCGGGAGACATCGGCGTACCATCTTCGTAGTATTGTCCGGCGCTCCCTGCAGGCTTGCCGTATGCGTCGGTGCCTACGGTTGTGGCTGTCTGTCTGGGGTATGGGCCCTCGCGGGTTTGTGGGCGAGTGGTGTTGTGCCGACTAGGGAGGCCAGAAACCATAGGCACAACCTGGACGCCTCCAACAAGGGTGGGCTCTCCGTTGCGCAGGGAGTTCGTTCGGTCTCGCTCTTCCTGTTCACGACGGCCAAGCTCCTCCCAGGCACGGCGTGCCTCCTCCTTGGAGATTTGGAGTTCGCGGCGCATCTCCTTCAGCAGTTCCTCGGCCTTGACTTTGTCTTTTTCAGATTGCTGGGCGGTAGAAAACGCATCGGCTCGGCCTTGTCGCTCTTCCTTGAGCTGGCGTTCCAGGTCCGCCTTCACTTCCTTCGAGCGTTCCTGCTCGGCACGGGTGTCAAAAAACCAGCGCTGGAACTTGCGTTCGGAGGAGGCGCGAAGACGTTGCAGTTCAACCACCGCGTGGAATAGATTGGCACCGGCGGCAGACAAGTCTGTAATCTGTCGAGCCAATTGTTGGCTAATCGGATCACGCTCTAGATCCTCATTGTTCTGTTCGAGTTTGCGCATCCAATAACTGGTGAGACCCTCCCAGTGTGAAGACAGCGTTTCCCATCGCTCGAATGCATGCGGAAACCCAACTCGTTTCGGCTGCTGAAGAGCTTGAGGAGCACCTTGTCCTGCGGGCAGGGCCTGGGCGGATTTGGAGAAGCCACTAGGTTTAGGCTGACCTCCAATTTCTGCTGCACTCTGCGAGCGACCGTGTTGAGGCTGCTGAGCGGTTGCTTGTGGCGGCCGTGACTGGTTTGCTTGCCCCGTGCCAACCGTCGGCGGTGCGGTCTGGTATTCTGATGGCCTGGTACTCGGTGTATTATCTGGTGCTGGTCGGTAACCAGGCACAGCCCCTGAAGCGACGGGCACGGTCTGGGGTTGTCCCTCGGAGCCCCTTGGTGGTCGTGGGGCTCTGATTCTTGATTGGGAGGTGTTTTCGACGGCAACGCCAGCAGCGTACTGTTGTGCCTGGGCCTGGGCATATTTCTGGGCTTCTGCCTCAGCTTCAGTCTGTTTTTCCTCCAGTTGTTGCCGTTCCAATTCTTCTTGTTCTCTCTCTCGAGCCTCGCTTTCTGCTTTGCGGCGAGCCTCCCGATCCCGGCGCTGTCTCATGATATCTGTAGGTGTCCTCATCCCACTCGGTGGTTGTGATGTCCCTGAGATGGGGTTCTGGGGTACACGGGATCCGCCATTTTGCCCACGGCTATTGTTCACAGGCCCAGCGGGCCCAGCGACGCCTACCATCTCTGACATAGAAGCATTCACTTCGTCCCAGTCGGTGGATAGCTGCAGCGGTCCACGGATAGCTTCCTCGAGGGCAAAAAGGATTGCGGATGCGGTGCGCGACGAGACTCCGGTGTTTCTCTGCGGCCAGTATGAGGTATGGAGAAGCTGGTACGGATCGTCGATTGTAGACCCGTTGTCGTCGGTCTCCGCTTCGGAAAGGGCCGGACGTAGGTCTGCGATGCCACTGGCTGGAGCGCGTTGTACAGAGACTGGGGTTGTACGCGCCGGCTGGTGTCGGTGTGGAACTGGGGCGCGTAACGAGACAGCTCGACGGTGGGGCGATTGGCGGACCTCTGCCTGACGGGGGATACGCCGTAAGGGACGCTGAGAGGAAGCGCTGGAGGGTCTCAATTGATGACCGGATGAATTAGAAGGGCGTTGAACAGTGGGCTGGCGTTGCCGCGCAAAGGTCGTGAACGTTGATGGGTCGTAAGAGTCGTGGACTTCGTCAGGGGCTTGTGGAGTGTGTCGAGACACCTCTAAGAATGGTGGATAAAATTGTGGATTGGGCGACAATGTGAGTGTGGCGTCACTGCTTGAAGCAGAATAGCTTCAAAGATCGCGATCGCAAAATTATCGATCGCTCACAATTCGAGGATTTACAGCTCCGATGGCTGTACAGACCAATACTCGATGCACAAGGTAAAGCAATTGAGAGAAAAGCGAAAGCAATTCGAAATCTGAAATGTGAAAAAACGAGGAAGGGTCGGACGAGGTGGCTGGTTAATTGAGATGGCTGGGGTTGCCGCAGCTCGAGCTGCAGCGCACCAAACGTGTGTCGGGGATGAGCGCCAACTCTTCAAGTCCGACTGGCCGGATTCAATGCAAACTGATATACGGAGTAAAGACAAGAAGATATTGGACCTGGGGGAAGCTGAAGGGTATTCCACGTTCTCCCAAGGCAGGAATGCCAGCCCAGTGCCTGCCCTAATTGACCCAAGTCTGGGCTTTCCTTCCTTTTTTGATTTTTGCTTTTTCAGGCTATTACGAAGTAGATCCCTAGGGCCTTCTATAGGCTGTATGTCAGATCTCAATATTGCACCGTCATGCGTCCAGAATCCCAATGTCGCTGCGCAACCAGCCCGGGAAGCAGTACCTCAATAATTAGCTGCACCTGTACTGAACCGGTCACACGGACCGCTGTAGGTAAATGGAATAGCCAGAACATGCAGTGTCGGTGTTGTGTATGTTGTAGGAAGCCCGAAAGATAGGAGAACCCTGGAAATCCTTCGGGCTACAACCTGAAATGGATTCGAGGCAATTTTAGTTTGGCTATCGTGCCATGGTTGGCATTCAGGGCTAACAATGATACAATAATAGAACTGAATATGTATTATGTAGTGATGTGTTGGCAGAAGTGCTGTACGTTCAGTCGGGCAACAATATATATCCCGGTCTAGCTAAGATATATAGTCACCATGTCATCATCCATTCAGGGCTACCAGGCTGTTTACTATTTATTATGGGCATTCATACTCCTACGGAGTCCTACCGTCTGTTATATCCACAATAACGTCGTAGTTAGGCTCCATCTGATCCACTGGCTCGTTCTTTGCTACTTCTGGAACGAACTCCTTTCCCCACAGCTGGTAACCGTGGAAAGCGTAACCGTGAGAAGTAATGATATTCCAAACATCTAGGTACATCTCTACATCTCTACATCTCTACAGCATATTGCTAATTATTCTACTTCTAACATGATTAAGATTTTCCAGTCCATATACTTTACAAGTTACAACACACTGCCCGGCATTTCCCCGCAATGACATCTTCTCGAGCCCTGGAGTGACGATGACAAAGCAGAGGTCCTCCCTGGAAACTTGGAACCTTGGAAGGTTGAAAGCTAAAGATCCAGTCCACAGCCGGAATAAGCCAAATGGCCGGGGCCCCAGTGCCAAGGGCCCCCCATAATCCAAGCCGGGCGTCGCGGAAGCCCCCGAAGAGACCCGTAACACTGCGCGGGACGTTATAGGGGCTCTAAAGTGCGGTGCGAGGAAGCAACTAGTACCTACTATCAGAATAGGAGAGGGGATCAGCCTGGTCGAAATATACGGTGACTAGTCAACCACGTCTATACATACCCACCGAGCCCATCTGGGTGCTAAAACTACACACAACAGTACAAGTGGCTAGAAACTGCTCCGGGGGACAATTTTTGTATGGCGATGGTCTGTGCACGACAAAATCAGCATCCAAAGTGGACCAGTTTTTCGAATCCAGAGTGAGAAAAAGATCAACAGGTCTCGTAGTGCGGAAAATATATCCGGTGGAATCTATCCTACAGGAGTACGGAATAGGCTCACATATGGTGGCCTTGTAGACTATCGATTTTCAAGCAACCTGCAACTCCATTGGCATTATTGCACACATTTAGTGTATAAGGAGTGGGTATAAATTCTATCGGGAAAGCCCTTCTCGGCCGCCCGAACCTCCTCCGGTGCAAATCATAGTGGTATTTGGTTTGGGACATTCCATTTCTTCCTACAATATTAAGGGTAGTTACCCGGGCGATAAAAACATATGCAATAGTGAACACAACCCCTAGCTATCCCCAATCCAATACCTCAAGCCAGGAGAACCCAATACAAGACCACACCGAGACCCCAACGAGAGACACACCCGCGCCCTAGAAGCACTACGACCTTAGAAGTAATATTAACCCCCCTGTCCCAAGGCCTGGGCCTCAGGAGCGAACGAACAGTAAGGGCCACCCAAGGAACCGGGGGATTTGACACCTCAGTCGGGTCGGGGAAGGCCTTCCCGCAGAGTCGCGGATGCACGAAACACGAAACCCGGACGGTCGCCAGGAGGGAGCCGAAACCCAGTATTGAGGTAGGTTTCAAGCATGCCTTGCAGCCTGCAGCCGGGGTTCGCGGGAGCTTAGGTGTTTGGGCTCGGGTGTTTCAGTTTCTTTGTCCACTGTCTTGGGATGGGGCTATTGGCCAATAATGGAAGGATGTTTTGCAAGATGCTTCCGCGGGGGTGATCATCGAGATCCTTTGGGAAGGGATCTGTTCTAGGTCTGTGGATCGGGGAGATCGAATTGTGCGATCGTGAACGATTAATTTGGATTCTGGTTGAGGCTCTTCAAGGAGTTTGTTCTATCGAGGGAGTTGGGATGTCCTGGATTGTTGTTCCATCGCCCCCTATGTAGGACCCAGAACTCGATGGATGGGCTGTGTTGCACTCGAGAACAAATCTATTCAAAACTCTATGTGTCTGCACTCAACATCCAACGGGGAAAGAATGTGACCGGGAGGACCGGAGGCGAGGGTTTCAGCGACGCTGCGTCCGCGGTGAGCTAATCGCTCAGAGATCGCGCACAGTGCATGAACTGGGCGATGGAGAGCTATTGGGCCTGCAGATCAGGGGTAGTACTGGGGGATGCGCTGATACTTATACATCGGCGGGATGGCTGCACTTCGGCTGTAGTATAGCGGGATGCATGCAAGTCAGACTTTTCGATGGAATGTGGGGTTTATTGGCTTAGCTGAGGACATGTCTCTACTAGGTAGTTTGTTTTATTTTGGGCTGCTTTAGGGCTTGCAGATTTGCCACAATGCAGAATATAGCAATTTTGGTTGTACACAATACGGAGCTGAAGACAGATAAGATGGAGCGAGATCTGGAGTTGGATACGGCAAACACCTTGATATAATTGCTGGATCGAAGTGAATTTGTATGCCAGGTCAGAAGATAATAGAAAAAGAGTTCCTCGATGAACCAATGGCAGCACAATGTCAGAGTTACAGACGCACAACATTTGTGATTTGTCAACTGTCAGGGTATAACTCAGCGCCTTGGGTGTCCGACCACCTCTAGAAAAGTTAGGATGGCTCATCCGACTAAATTCAATCGAGGCATCTAAAGAATTAAGGCAAAACTAGGGGAATAGGAGAAATAGGAAACTAGGAATACAAGGGAGCCAAGTAGTATAGCTCCTTTCACTCCTGCTAAGTGCAACGATCCTTGATAACTATTACTAAGATAGAAAAAGCATTAACTAAAGATATCTAGCTAGCTACTACTCAAAATAAGGAAAAACAAAATACGATAAGCCCATGACGTACGTGATAGGGATGAAACGTTGCGATATCGAATTGTGAGGCTCGAATTTTAACGTTAGGAAGATTAGGAATGCCCACACGGTGTTAAGCCCTAACACCAAAGTACTGCTCATCCAAAGTACAAAGTAACAGAGAAACATAAACCATATAGATCACGACGATCGGCGTTAGTGGCTGATCCCGGGAACTCCGCACCAAATTGGGCGTGATATCTCACATTTTCTGTCCCAGCCCTCTTTCTGCACATTATTTTTGGAGACTGCAGATGTAGCATTATTTCTTTCGACTTTCGCTTCTGACAGGCTGAGAATGATTTCAAATATTGGAAACGAGATCTGGTGGTACGAATACCTCGTGTCACTTCCTTGGCTTCCATAATCCGTATCACAGATCACAGACACGCAGGCAACAAAGAACACAGCACAGCGACACAGACACGTACAATCCACATTGTATTCTTCGGGATGTTTCTCGGTGCAGGCGTACGGATCAAGTTCCGCGCGCCCTTGCTGGGCCCAATCGAAGGGTCCTTGCTGCAACCCCATCCCTACGGAAGGGGACATGCAAGGTCAGATAGGTCATGATCGTCTGTGCTTCTGTTGTTTACATTGTGCATTGGCATGCATCTGCGTTTCGAGCTAGCCACCGGGTCATTGTTCTAAGGCTCTAGGTCCTCGGGGTTATTTTTGGTATAAACATATCCCCTTCACCCTGGCCTCCACTTCGGTCATTTCATTCCTCATTCCATCTCTTTCTCTCGTCCTGTGGCAATTCTGCTCTCTAGACCTGTCGAACTGTGCCTAGATCCTAGAGATCTTGCTCACTCGTGTTACTTCTCCTTCATATTACTCGAGCTCACAGTCCCATGGATCACAGAGGTCTTTATTGTCCAGGCGAGTTGGACGTGTTGTATCAAGATCGGAACAGATCAGAGACTACAATTTGTGTCCCGTCGCCCTCACCTGCAAAGCGAGGATCATCTTACTACCCCACAGCCGGCCCAAAGGTCCTGGAAGAGTCGAATCTTGATCCCTTCTACCTCGAAGAATCATTGGCCGCTACGCCGTCTTGGAATCATTATACATCGGACATGCGCAATGATAGTTTTGACGAAAGCCAATACTATCCCCTTTCCTTGAACCACAACAAGGATATCCGGAACCCATTACAATACCCCGGACCAGATCGCTCCACACTTGCACAGGTGGAGTTCGAGAACAGCTTGCGATTCCATCGATACACTCCATCCACAGAGGAGCACAGTCCGCTGCACAGTAGCCAGCTGTCATTCAGCTCCGTCCAAACAGACAGCACCACTCCCGACTTGACGCCGAGCAGCTCCTTTTCTTCTTCCTACGATTCACCTAACTGCCCCGACGCCGTCTTGGAGGCGACCCAGCAGCTATACAAGCACGCGAACCAGGTTCAGATCGAGCCTCGTCGCCGCCGCTTCTATCTGCCTGCATCTACACCACCAACATACTCTCTTCCTCCGCCGCCTCCCCCGCCGGTGGCTCCTATCAACCAGGATACTTTCCAGCACTCAAACGATTCAACTACTACCATCACCATGGTCTACGAGGACGTAACAGGATCCTGCTCATCGCGGTCCCGCCGCAGGAAGCAGCCTCCTGCTGTTCTCGATCTGTCGCGTACCACCAGTTCCCCAACCAGATCTCGCCGGAAGCAATCCAGCCCTGGAACTCGCCCTCCCCTGGACACTTCCATGATCTCCCCTCCATGCTTAATCAACCCAATTACCATGGAGCCTCACATGACCCACTTTGATCACCCTCTCTTCATTCCTGCCAACGACGGCCCTAGTCCCGTTCCTAGTCCTGTGGCTAGCTCCCCACCAATCTCCCGCCAGTGGACCGCAACCTCGATGGAGCGGCCCTCAATCTCTACTATCGACATGTTCTGTGAGCAGTCCGTATGGGAGTCTGACTCCGATTCCGAGTCTGCTGGTCGTAAATCCATGTCCCGTCGGCCAATAGACACACTGCGCAAGGTTCGCAGTCGTGCCAAGCTCCGTGCCGCCAAGTCGCAGCCGAGACTTAACCAGACTATGCCTGATGGCAATGTCTTTGAGCAGTTTCCATGTATGCCAGAGGATATTTTGGGAGAGCCTATCCCTGAAGCTTTCCGTCCTAGCATGGACCGCCCCAGCACTAGCAAAGATGCTGTGCGGACACCCATCGGCCTGCAGACATTGCGCCTCGTTGACCCTTCCTCCACCTCTCTGACTCGCCCTCGTTCCCGCAAGAACAGCAGTCTCAACAGCTCCGACGTTGACCGCTCCGCAGCTGCCGCTTTCCAAGCCCAGTTCCGCCGTCGCCAGCGTTCCGAGTCCACTGAATACACCAACTCTGACAAGGGTGACAAGGAGAAGTTGACCTCGTTCTGCTACGATCACTTCTCCTCAGCCCCCATCAACGGATCTCGCGAACAGCGCCCCCTCTTCCAGCGTTTCATGAACTCCCTGCGTTCGTTGAACTGCCAGAAGCCCCAAAAGTCTAAGAAAACCAATGTTACCACCATCTGATGCATTTACACTCGGCGTTCCGGTTCTCTGGGTTCAATTTTAACGGACGAAACTATGATACAACATACCGACTTTACCAACGATCCCTTCAACGATTTCATATCATTGTCTTCATGCCTCCCATGTGTCTCGATTATCACGAACACGTCCATTCTCTCACGCTATATCTGATTCTGCTTCCCGCGCACAATGAAAATAATGAATCTCCAGACCCGACTGTGGATGGACATAGACGCGCTCAACCACGTTCTTTACATGCGCTATCTCGCGCCACGAAACGAACATCACGCCTGGTCCTACGGACCATGATTACCGACTCATGACTCGATACCCTCGGGCTAACTATCTTTAATTTTCCTACCTGTCATCTCTTGCATTCTTTTTCTTTCCTGTCTTGATTGCGCCTCATGCGTGCTGTATTATCATCGCTCTGTCTAATTACGAAGTTACTATTTCGAACGGTCTCCATTTTTACCATGTTTGACTGAATTATGTCTCGCCATCGCTGCTACGACAACCATTTTCTTATTCACCTTGTGATCTATAATTACAAACTAGCGGAACACGCCTTTTAGGTCTGTGTTTCTATGACCAAAAATTGCATTCTCTGCACTATTGCATTCATCAAAAGTCGTTCCACTACCTCATACTCTATGAATAGACAAAAATAGAAATCATCACATTTTACCTCAATCATGAATGATCCTTTGTTACTTCGTTGCCTAGGGGACGGGGCCGTTTTCCGGAATGCCAGATTGCGAATCTCAGACGATCCCCAAAGGTATCCCGAATACTACAGAGTACCGCAACCTAACCTCCTTAGACGACATCCATCCGACCGAGTAATGACGAGCAACAAGATCTCATCTACCTAGATAGTTACGTCTCATAGCCCTACACCATGCACGGGGACCCAATCACACTCGCAAACCCTGGACCACCACCAAGGGCGAAGGGAGCCACCAAACCTTGCCCTAGGCCAGGACGAAAGCTAGCAGATTTTGACTTCTGCCTCCGACGACCGACTCATTGCGCGGACTGGACACCCCGACGCGCCACGTATGTAGTGTGTGTTACGTCATGGTCATTCCTAATCCAGAACCATCCGCAGATTCTCTTTCGGCTGTTTCAGAACACTAATATACTATATAGCGTATCCAGAATTCCGGGTCTGGTCTGCCAGCTTACCTGTCGAATTCTCGATGCAGCTATTCGTATGTTTCCCCACAGCGGCTGCACCGGGGAACCGCGGCGGGGATCCACTGGCTGCGGAGGTGGGATGCTCTTGGATCGACATGTCGAGGCGCGTTCGGATTTGGGTACTTAGGGCTTGGGATGGCACAACTTCCGACCGATACTTGCGCCTTATGTACATGGCCCAATTCACGTCGAATTCCTCTTATTCAAACACAAACCTTCTGACTAGTGCATTCACAAAATAAGTGTATCCTACGCACAAAACCCAAATAGGATAAGACACATACATCCCTTGCATGCGCCCCTCAACGGCCGCCAAGCGTCCGAGACCTTGAATCTCACCTCGGTTGAAAAGACTCAACAGATACTTCCACCTACGGACTACTTTGCTCCCTTTGCTTTGTGATAGAAGCTTAAATCAAGCCTAACAATCTGACCCGCCAGACAAAGCTAACCAACCCGTCCTCCTTCCCGTCTTCCCCTCAACCCTCGATCTGATATCACAAGTGCATTCTCTCCTCTCCAATACTGCTCCGTACTCCAACACGACCGATCTTCAAATCCCCACTTTGACAGGTAGCGCTAGACAGGGGTTTTATTCGAGCCGGGCCAAATATAGGTATCTCCGTCCTCTGGGCCGGGGTTCTTCCGTGGCCACCTCACACGCAAGGTCGCCGATCCACCGGCTGTGGGTCCTTTGCATCCCCGAGACCCGCCAGCTTGGGCGGGTTTCAGATCTATCGGACTTTGGGCTGTGGGGCTAGGGGGCTCGATTTGGTATCGCGTCTAGGCTTTTGTGCTGTTTTGTTTTGTTGGAGGTGCTTTTGTTTTGTGCGATTACACGCTACAAGATGTGACATGTGACTTGTCATTTCTGCCTCGTGTTTGACAGGCGCGATTTGTAGGTTGCTTTTTTTTTTTGCTCTGACGAATGGTGGTCTATTGTAGACTACATCGATAATTGCGCTGGTGGCTATCGTTAAAAATTCGGCGAAATGTCTCTGAAATCGTAGAATAAATCCGGATATCTAATCCGACGCGAACACCACCATGGCAACAGCCGTGCATACAGTAGTGTGCAGAGCCCCAGCGTCAGTGTGTCTTAGAGAAGCACGATCATTATCCCAAGCAACCGAGAACAGCAGGTCGGACCGGTCTTCCGCTTAGCCCTTCCGCCGCATCAACCTTGCAGTGGCAGCGGAGACTGTTCCAAGGTTCTGGATACTCACATCACCGCCGCAGGGATGATCCTGCGGCGGGGAACGAGCAGCGGAGACCCCGAGAGACAGTGGACCGCATCTCTGCAGGAACTCAATCCTGCATTTGCACCTGCAAGACGAGAGGAGACCTTTTCCCTCCTGCGTCCCTGTATCTGGAGGGGCATTGTTATGTAGATCTCCAGACAAGCACAGCCAGCCCTGTGTCGTATCCATGACAAAGACATAGTGCAAGCCGCGAATATATCTGCACAAATCCAAGACAACTTCAACTGTGCTCCACAGCCTGGCCCTCGCCCTTGCCCTTGGCCTTGGCTTCCTCTTCCTCCTCCTTCTTCTCCTTCTCCTTCATCTCCAAAGCCTCCATATTCTCCTCCCACCTCGGAACCTCAACCATCCCCTCCCACCTAGCAACAACAACATCCCCCTTCCGCCCAAGCTGCGTCTCCGCCCGTTCCTCCTCCCCACCCTCCGCTCTCGGCGCAGCCTCCGGCGCGCCATCCGCCCCAGCAAAAACAGCCTGCACATCCAGCTCCTTAAGAGCAGCTTCATACAGCACCCGGATCTGCTCCCTCTTCTGCCGCCTCAATTCCCCAATTTCAGTATTGCCATCCTTGTCCGTCCCTGTAGATGCAGCAGCAGAATGACCCGTCCGCACAGCCGGCTTCCTCACAACACCAGGTCCACTCCGCTCCTCGAACCCGCGTAGCAGTCCCTCCATAATTCCTAGTACAGTACCGGCACGCATACCCAGTTGCGCGCCGACGGGGAAGCCTCCGTCGAAGCCTTCTTGCACGTGCGCGCCCTTGGAGGCGGACGTGCCGTCGCGGTAGCCGGCTGTGACGTGTTGGCGGCGGAGGCTAGGGAGATCGGAGGGTTCGGTAGATTGGGGGAGTGGGCTTGTAGCTGATGGGCGTGGTGCGTTGAGGGTGCTTTCGTAAGGTGGGGAGGAGCCGAAGATGTCGTCGAGGGAGTTGTCGTCCACTGCGGGGTTGTCTTGGGTTGACATTGTTGTTGCTGGGGAGGGTGGGGTGGAGTGGGCGGATGATGAGTCTGTGTGGGCTGTCATTGCCCAGGTAGTATGAGTTTTGACTTCGATTATGACTTGGGATTGTACAGTTGTTGTGAATTGATCTGAATTGGTGAGGTTGAAGTTGAGAAAAAAAGTTAGCGGGTCGGCGGGGCGATCCGTTGATCCACAGAAGCCTGCGGAGGACTGCCCCATCTAGTATCAAGGTTAGATCCAATCTTCTAAGCGAAGAGATTTGCATAGTTATACTATATGAGCGTAGTAGAAACATAGGAAAAGCTACTTTGACTGGGAGCACTGAGCTTGTACACCGGTGGTTGGCGTTAACACTCTCTTCTGTTTTACGAGCTACCCGTAAGCGACCACTCGGGGTGGTGACGCATACGGGTTATAGTTTGCTGAGCGTAGATGAACCAAAGTCTGTCCTAATGTGACCTACTGTACGGAGTAGCCTAGGTTATATACTCTATATGAGCCTTTAGGCATTCGAACCTACCCCTGCGGAACAAGCAAGAGTTGCGAAGGGGCATAGCGGCCAAAGGTCAAATGCCTGATTTCTCGGGTTTGGTGCCTGAATATGCCGGATATGCCTGAATTTTAGACTGGCAGAGATCAAAATACCGGAATTACCATGACAGCGGGCTTAATAAGCAGAGTATCCAACCTTGGAACCTGTCCAAAAAAAAAAGAAGCTATTCCCACTATGCAAATTTCTGTATGCATCCATTTCTCGGCGTTGAAGCTGTTGCGATTGTACGAATTTCTCCGATAAAAGAATGAAGCTATTTCCCACCATACAAATTTTGGTATATATCCATTTCTGAGAGTTAAAGCTGTTGCAAATCTCTCCGATAAAAAAATGAAGCTATTCCCACCATGCAAATTTCCGTTTCCGTATACACCCATTTTATGCGGTCAGAGTCGGTTCTTAACGCCCAGGATTCGAAGAAACTGATGATTTATGGGGTGGGAATAAATAATTTCAATCCAATGGTTTATACAGTCGGATACGGGTCTTAACGCCCAAGATTCGAAGAAATTGATGATTTGTAGGGTAGGAATTCAATGGTTTAACGGGTGACGCCCAGCTGATGATTGGCTTCAATTTACAGTACACGGTATAGAGCGGTGTGGAATGCGGTCAATAATTCAGACATATTCAGGCATATCCAGGCATATTCAGGCACCAAACCCGAGAAATCAGGCATTTGACCTTTGGCCGCTATGCCCCTTCGCAAAGGGTCACACTATTTGGCGAATTTCGCTTAGACAATGATTCTTTACTCTACTCCATAGCGGTTCCCTTTTTTCCAGAGCGCTAAGCTATTTAGGTGCCGGAGTTTCCGCATGAAATCTCGAATATTGAACTAAGCAAAGACTAAATCCACTTGTTTCACCTTGTAAACCTTTTTTTTTTTCATCAGTTCGACGCGCATTCAGTTGGAAGGCTCCTCATTCATCTACCCCTCTAGTCTCTTCCTTTGACTTTTTTTTTCTACCCAAATTGAATTTCAAAATGGCACAGTCGGCATCAGACGCGTCTTGGCCAGCGGGCATTCCCGAGATCCACCTTCATCCGACAGATTTACCCTCAGATGAGCTCCCGGAAGAAGCCAAGGGATGGCTGCTATTCGTAAAGGTAGGGTGTCCTTGGAATGCTCTCGTATAAGCATTTGTAATATTAACTGGTACATAACTGCAGGAAGTATACCAACCAGTCTCAACCCCAGAAGAGGGGCTGCGTCAACGGCGAGCCCTAATTGAGAAAATGGGCTACCGCCAGTCAGGAATTCCGCGAGGTACGTACAGCCAATGCTGAACTCACCTTTCTTCAGGTCTAATTATTATTTGCAGTCTTACCATAGCCGTGCCCCAGCATATACCTCAGCTCGCGACTACCCGGCTTCATTGCTCTCGCAGCAAGCCCCACGACCTGACAAGAGGTTCCTTTGTCTACCACCAGTAGACTCACAGACTCACCCCCGGAACTACATTCATCTTGTAAAGCTCCTGATTATGATGTATATCCATCAAGATGAATGGAACGGGCAGCATCCCTTTGACCAGGCAGGGCCGGGCCATGCACCGCGCAGCCATATCCCAGAATTTCTCAACCTCGCGACACCTATCGCGCTTAGCGATATCCTCTCTGAGCTGTACCTTTTCTCAGCGGATTTCCACGCTCTCTCGATGACCCAGAGTGGCACAGTAGTGTTCGCCGATGGGCCAGACTACACGTGGTATATGATCGAAGAGCCGGAGCTTGCCACAGGGCGAATGACGATAGCCGAGTTTGGCTCTGACGGCAGTGTCCGCGATTCGATTGTTCGTCGAGCCTGGAATATGGGTCAGGTAATGGCCTTTGGTCAGAGTTTGGGCCGGCGTGTCGCGGATTTAGAAGAATCGTGTATTGGGGGCCCGCCGCAGTATAACGAGCCGTAAGTTCTTTTCCATGTGCAGTTTCCAACGTGAATTTTCTAATGGGAATAGATTGAACATGGACCGTCCTATTATTGAGCTCTTGGAGGCAACGAGAATGGACAGCAAGTTTCTCTATGAGGGATTCGGTTATATGGACCTGTGGGTGCGCCTTATTGAGCAGAATGCACCTGGGTATCTGGACCTTGAGGCTCAGGGGCGGGAGGTGGAATTTAAGCTTGACAATCTGCGTAATGTTGGTATTGATACTCTCTAAGGTATGTCCTGCGGTAGTTGGTCCTGACAGGTATTGTATCTGACCATTCCATCTTCGAGCATTTTATCGGAACAAATACTCCTACCTGCATCCATGTATTAAGGCTCGAGAATTGGCTTGGAGAGCACTGATGAAGAGGACGAGTATGAGGATGCAGAATCAAATATAGGCAAACGCCACAGTCAGAGCAATTTGAATGCTGAATCGATGATATAGATATCCGGGTACATATAGCTAATACTACCTAGTATCTATCCTCGACTCTCTAAACTATACCCAAGTGAAAGAAAAGGCCTGTTCGTGGTCCTCGATGGAAGACATGACAATTATGTAGCCTCGCTCTGGTTATGAAAGCGACCTAGCACTAGTAGTACCTAGTAGCAAAATACAGTGATTGTACGGAGAAATAGCACTTGAGAAGGTCAACTAGTATCGCAAGCATTCATCACACATTTATCTAGATGTCCATAAGCCCGTTACACTGCTTAATTCAGGGATTCTCTCTAATGTTAGGTTCTCGGTTTAGCCATCGACTCTCTTTGAATATACCTCCCAAGTCATTTCTGCCACCCTCATCTATAGGGAAGATATTGAAGAAAGATAGACGAGATAGAGTAGTAAGACGTGAGTTGAAAATGCTGAGGACATGCCTAGAAAAGCCTTCGTTACAGATCAACGGCCCACTCATATCATCAGCTAACAGCCATTTGATTTGGTATGAATCATTTACTTTGACCGGGAATGCCTTCTGCCTCGATCTTCAAGTGGAGAGATTTCTTTGCTGAATAATCTAGCCCTATTGATGAAATGGAGATTAGCGGATCCGGGCCCTGCCAAATGCCAAAAAAAAGGTTTCACGTACAGTTCTGAACCTTTTGAGTGATTATCTTTCTTGCCGGCTTCCAGAATAAATCCAAATCTGCACCTAGGCGAGGTTTAGAGAAATCAACCTCGACGACTTGAATCATTGTATGCTTGCTGAACCCCTCAGTTTTATCAACATCGCGGTTGTCCTGGGTATTGGTAAATGCAATAAACTCCCTGGTTCCAACCCGAACAGCATTTAGCCATTCTAGCTGTTGCTCATTGCCATAAAAAGCCTTCGACATGATTTTCCCGATAAAAAACCAGAATGGCCAAGGCTTGTTGAAGTCGTAAGAGATTCCGCAGACAGACTGCATGATTGAGTCTAGTCTCTTATCGGAAAGCCTTATGTAAAAAGCCATTATTAGTTCCTGGCTAGTAGAGAAAGGAAAATCCATGGGGACATCACTTACTGGACAACAACATGAGTGATATCTGATAGGAGGAAACTTTTGAATTTGTCTTCAACGGTTATATTGACGGAAGGAACTGGAACTGTTATGGCCTGATGATCCGGCAGTGTTTCATCCATTGTTTCCAACCCATAGGCCCTAGGGTCAAAATTGATGCCAATAACCGCAGATTTTGCTTAATGAAGAGTAAGCTGGTATTAATATGAAGATGCAGATGCAGATGCAGAACCAATAGTTCGATGACGTATAGGTTGAATGTTTGTCCACGTCGATACGAAGGGATGGGACTATACCTAAACCAGTAGATCATATGCTAGATGGCGCGACATATTCTACCTGTATCATTATTCGCGGAGAAATTAAGAAGAAATGCAAGACAGCATGAATGTTGTAGGTGGGGTAGCGTCAGGTGACATATGGGTTCAACTCCATCTCCCTCCATCTCCTCCATCTATTCCATATCCCTCGACCTCACTTCCCTCTATCCACTCTATCCTTGTTTCTCATTTGTCGTAGCGTCATAAATAGTACAGCGTAGGCTGGACACATAAGGCCCCTCTTCCTTCTGCCTAAGCTCAAAAGCGTAAATACTTCCCTGGTCGGACTAATAGAGTCGCCGGACTCCAAGATTGTCGCGATATTACGTAGGTTAATCACACGTTTTGGGCACTAAAGTCTGTGCCACTGCATGAGAAATTTTTGAGAAATCTTCGTGGCCTCGCAATCAACACTAGCAGATTCTCTGTCCATCTTCATCTCACTAGTCGATGGACATATTAAAGTTCTTGGAATACATTGTCGTCTACCCCTCTATCTTACTACACCGTCTAACCCAGAACCCCTCGTTCACCCCCAGTTCTTTCACATGTTTTGTGAACCATTTTCATTCCACAGAGTCAGAACAAATTTGTACCTTTTTTGGTCGTTTAAAATTTTGACGATGCCTCTAGACGAACTGATTTCGCGCGTGAAGAACAGCCAATCACTAAATCCAATATCTTTTTATAAGAACGAGCAATGGCCGATAACACTTCGCCACACACTGCGGTTGAAAAATTGAATCCTAACGAACCAGTGAGCTTTGCCACATCTGCAACATTCCTCAGTACAACTAATACATATTATACAGACTATCTACAATATATGGAAGGCAGCAGATGGTTCATTTGCAGAGGAGCCTGTTGGCAAAACCATCAAGTTCAAATTGAGAAGTGGTAAACCATATGGGTTGGCCAGGGTCTTTGGTAAAGAAGGCGAAGAAGATAAAACAAAATGGGCAAGCGATGAATCACAGGAGCTTTACATCCCACCGCATCGCAGATATGAAGTGTTTCGATGTATCATCAAGTTCATTCCAGCCTGAGCTCCGTCATGTTGAATTTATAGATTGTCTCTATCAACATGATTCGGTTCACGCTTATAGTGCAAGAGCCGTCTTGGTCCTGGCTGCTGGGGATAAGAATAGTCACACAACCGGACGTATTACATCCCTGTCTTTCCTCTTCGGTCCACTGTTTACTATTCATAATACCTTGTAAGATTTCATCCAAAAACGCTTTAACACGCTCACAGTCAACGAGTGAATACGCAAATTGGATATCTATGACGAATGAGTAAATATTTCAACAGGGAGTAGAAGATACGCTCACATCTGGTTTCTTATTCAGGAAACATAGATTGTATGAAGGTAAGGTAAGGTAGCTTCCCAGCGAAACCCTGTTCAGCTACCGTTGACTGTAGAAACCTCTTCGCTCCAGGACCAAGCTGAAATCGAAAATAATCGTAAGTGTCGAGGTTCGTCAGCTTGTCCAATACGGAATGTCCTTCTCTGTTTATACAAATTATGGGCGGAACAACCAAGAGCACAGCAAGGAAAAGATGATTGCTTGTACTTTGAATCCCGTTATAGTTACGTCGAGCACGAGATTGTCGTGATTTTGTCGAAGATACACCAGGACCGCCAATAGGTTCTACCCAGAGGAAGTTGAACCGATGACCGAGAATCTCTCGGTCATCGAGAGTCAGGCCTTCCGTTCGCAATTGTGTGATTTTAGTGTTTATTTTCTCGATAAGGTCTTGTCCGGAAGGCGAGGGCGAACTCATGTTTGAAAGAGGAGAAAGTAATTAACTAGAACAATAAGCAATAGTATAAACTGAATACGAAATAGAAAAGATGTGATAGAGCGAAATGGAAGGTATGGAGTAAGATAGGGAATGGAGTAAGATGGAGGGAATGGAGGGAATGGAGGGAATGGAGGGAATGGAGGGAAATGGAGGGAAATGGCGGGGATGGAGAAGAATCAAGAGAAGCTAACAGGGGTCGATAAGTGATCGAGTAAATATGCTCCTTTCATTCGTCAACGGCAGCTGCAAAGATCCGGCATAAAACTATTCCTGAGTTATATTCGAGCTTGCGCAAAATTGCAAGGATGTCTACCTCCCCCTCACTAGACCTAGTACGATTATTGAGCCTATTATATAACGAATTTCAAGGCAAGCGCTTCATCCGCTTTATAACTTCCTTTACCTCTGACCAGTTATCTGCGGCTGCTTGGCTTAAGATACTACAGGGCCGGGGGCATAGAACAAGAGGGCCGTGCAAGCAAGAAAGTACATAAAGCAAGCGTGTCGACGAGTTGAAAATCCACAAGAACAACACTTTAGATCATTCCAGTGATCGCTCTATAAATTTTGACGTTTTTCCCCTCTCATCTTTCTCATCCAATCCCTCCGTGCATCAAGTCGCTCCAAGATGTGTCACTATACAACAGCGATAATAATCTTTCGTCTATGTATCCGTGCAAACAAAACACACGACCGGCATACGCTATTATAAAAAATGCGATACAGCAAAGATATCAGGAATCTACTGCGAGGATGCAACCTATGAGCCAAGTCTTGGGATCTTGGGAAGTAGTAGTCGTGCTGGCCCTTGCCCGTACTGTCGTGATTCGGGCGTGTCCATTGGCACCGTGGTTTACGAATCTGTAAATACTACTTCGAGATACCATTAAGGAATATTATTGACGGAAACAGCGATCTCTGAATAAGACAGCCTAGCACACCGGGTTATGCAGGTTCGGGAATGAGCTCTATGGGAGGGTATGGATATTGGAAAATGAACTTGGCATTTAAACTATTAACTGGAGAGTGGTTATTCCGCCTGATAAATGTAGAGTCTAGGAACAATTTGGCTTGTTTGTTTCATTTATTTGAAGCTATCATAATCCCCAAGCTTTAGGTTGGTTTAGGAGCGCTGGTAAAGAGGAATAAAGTGCGATTAAAGCAAATGTGGATAGGGGCCAAATACCAGCTAAGAACGTTCATGTAGATGGAGTTACTTATGGCAAGAATATTGATTGATTATTACATACCTAACTAGGTAGATGGGTGCTCTCTAGTTATTATATTGTGACCGTTCATGATATCTCCCTGCACGTGATCACATGTATCCCTTTCATTTCAGCAACTCCCCCTTTCTCCTCTTGACATCCCTTCTCGAACCCAACCAGGTATTCTGAAAATGGGGATTGCTATCTTTTCTTCTTCAAACCGCGGCGATTCCTTCATTGCAGCCGGTACAGTCTCAGCAATATATGCCGTTGACGAAAACTTTGTCATCAAACTCCATCCCTCATCAGGGGGTTTCGAGCGCCAAGCTTACGACATTGAAGTTCGCTCTTACAAGCGACCTGGGCACCATGAACACATTGCATCTTGCGAAGTAACCGAGGAAGGTCTCCTACTGGAACGCGGGATTTGTCTTCGGACCATACTTCAGAGTGCTGGAAGCACTTCTGATGGACCGTCAAAAGCCAGGGAGTCTCCGATCTCTTTATCTATGAAGCTTCGGTGGGCGCAGGAAGCCGCGGATGGTCTTGCATATATTCATAGCAAGGGTATTATCCATGCAGATGTTGGTTGTCACAATATGATTGTGAACAACTCCAACCACGTCAAGTTCATTGACTTCGCTGGTTCCGGCATCGACAGTGAAGCCCCTCTAGTCTGCTACGAGTGGTGTAGCTTCCAACCTGGTAATGAAATCAGTGTATGCACGGATATATTTGCTTTCGGGTCAATGCTGTTCGAACTTGAAACCGGGCGTGTCCCTTATAGCGAGCTGGAAGGGACTATGGAGATGGGGAGCCTAATTACAGTTGTTGAGAACTTGTTCGCACAGCGGCAGTTTCCATCTGTGGAGACTTTGGCCTTCGGGTCAGTCATTTCTTGTTGCTGGAATGGCAAATACAATTCAATGGAGGAAGTGTATCGAGATATCGCTTGTCAATGTGAGAATTATTCGGAGGAAAGCCTGTAAGATGTTGGCTGTTGTGAGTTCGTCTAAGCGGGTCGGGGCGATCGACAGAAAAAGTCAACGATGTATAACGATGGTGTGTTTATATCTCTACAATTTGCATCATTGCATACTCAATATGTTGTCTAGTTCAATTATAGACTATAGTATTTGACATTGAGATGCCAGACCAATGTTATGTCGGGCCATCTTCTTTAAACTTTGGCCCCCAATCGCATCAGATGATGTGTCCAAAGAAGTTAGCAACCACAAGCCTCATGTTTCCATCTCAAATGTACATGAAGTCTTTTAAGTGACCTACAAATTAATAGCCATGCCCAGACGCACCCTCCGCCTCCTAGGCTACACCACCGCCGTCACTGGCATAACCGGCTACAGCATCCACCGAGGACTGAGCCAGCTGGAAGAAAAATACCCAGAACTTCCCCCCGCAGCCGGCAGCAGAGCTCTCCGCACACCAGAACACCCAAATACCCAGCGCTGCGCGTATACCGACATCTACGCAGCCCAAATACCCCTACAAGCCCTCGAAGCACGCATCCCAAGCGCCAAGACACCAACAAAAACAGAGCTCGAATATGCCTGGGCTCGATCATTGCTCGGGAGCAAGCTCCTACGAGCCGAGGGGTCTATCCTCGGACTACTCACGAGCTTCCGCTTCACACCGTGCGATACAGGCAGCTCAACAGACGGGTTCTCGCCGGATAAAACCACCGGTGCGCCGCGCGTTCTGCTGAATGGTTTATTTCAAGTACGGCGCCTTCCCGCTACTGAGGCGGATAGCAATGGACTGCTGGTCTCATCGGAATTGCCCGACAAGCCCCGCGTGTTCTTTGAGATGATTGCGCGGTGGGGGTATCCTTGGCGCTTGATGTCGTGTATGAAACATGAGATGAGTGTTTCTGAACCGTTCTGGAGGAATAGTCAGGGGATGTTTGTTGAGGTGCGGTTTGCAAGTGCGCATGATTATGAGATTGTGGATGCAGAGGGTGAGCTTGGGAAACAGAAGATTATTCCGGATTGGACTCTGAGGCTGCATCGTGGGTATGCTAGGTTAGTTCTTGATTCTGCGGTTCGAGAGCTGCAACGGGATGTTGAGAAATAATCCTGTTGCTTTCGAGCTATTGGGCTCTCTTTTCATACCCTTCACCTTACACCTCGGAGAGCTGGGTCAGCTGCGGGTATACCCCAGGCCTGCTAACGTCGGACACTTTGGTTTAAGCCGTAATTTGGTCATCAGAAGATCTATTGTACACTCCCAGGGAGCAATGCGACAGCCACACCTTGGACTTGCGATGACATTCATCACGTACTTAGCTCTTCAACAAGCACTATATCCAAACTTATACACATTTATCTGATACACCCTATTTACCACGCGGTATCAACATATCTCCAATGATCAGATTCTACCCTATTCCTCGCTTCCATCGTCACCCGCATCCTAAACACAAGCACTCCCATTTGGAACAACAGTCCACGACTCGAACCCATTGTACAAATAACACACATCCCAGCCACTGGTGATGCTCCCTAGCAGACCATCCGCCCCACCGGAGCAGTCAGACGAGCTGAACATGCAAAGATCATACCGGTTCACGTCAGAGGGGCTCTTCCACGAGAGACTCTTGACATTCGTTGAATTGTAGTAGGTAGTATCTAACCCCTGACAGTCGAGTGCCCTGGCGCCGGAGTAGTGAAGAATAGAGTATTGGATATTGTTCACGGAGCTGTTGCAGGCCGGGGGTGCTACGCCGAGGAAACGGAAATCCCACTGTGAAACATTAGCAGGTTTAATTTAGCATACGTGTCGGAATCCGGCGCGTTTGACGTACGGCTCTGTAGGCAAGGACTGTGAGATCTTCCGGGTTGGGCAGTGCGTTGACGGTCCAAGGAGCGACGCCAATGAGCGTCAAGCATGGAAGGAATTTCATTATTTTGGCAGAAACAAGACTAAAAAGCAGGACTTGAAATTATGCAAAATGCAGATATAAGTATAAGCTGGAGGGAAATGTTTATTTGAAATATTCAGGGCATAATTGCTTCTTATTATACGGAGTAAGCCAAGGTGCGTGGTCTTTTGAGGGTGGTCTTTCCACCTAGCGCAACTAGCCCAAGTTAGGTTTAGCGCATTACAGGAGTATTCATCACACATCGTCCTCGACACTCTTCACATCCATCATCAGTTAGCTGCGTCAATCCCGTTTGACCCATTATAAATATTCAACGGTCATGGAACTCCATATTCTGTCAGGAAACTCGTCTACTCTCCTCTCACAGTTACCAAGCGTTCCAATACGGTCGCCCATTGAGATGGTCGAGAATTTACGCTTGCTATATGATCAGAAACAGGTTGAAACCTTTCAGAATATGTTGGACTTACTTGCTTGTCTTAGACGACAAATTCTGCATATTTGATTTGGATCCAATCATGATAGATGCGATTAGACATGATGATACCAAATTCGCCGAGGCGCTTCTTTCCCATGGACTACCCTTGCACCCGGATTACGCCTTGGAAGCAGCGAAGTGGAAGGCAACGAATGTCCTTGAAGTGCTTCTTAAGAACGGCTTCGATATCAACAAGCCAATAAGTGACGGACAGCTCCCGGTACTTGGGTAAGAATCTCTTTCCTCCAAAAGCCGAACCGCGTAACTGAGTCATTTTTAGTCACATAGCCCAGGACCAAGACATGGTGTTATGGCTACTCAGGCATGGGGCTGATCTGAATCAAACATGTCTGATTGACTTGACACCACTTTCTTATGCTGTTCACTACGCACCTATCTCAAATATTAAACTCTTTCTTGACAATGGAGGCGACACCCAACAAGGCCAGCTTCTATTCCACGCGCTGAATAGGGAAGCTGAAGTGATTGAAGTCTTAACACTTCTTCTTAAGGAAGGTGCTCCATTGAATGGGACATTATATCAGAATCATCCCCTCTCCCGGTCTCTTTACGCTTTTATGGGACTTGGTACTATTTTACACAAGGCGGCAAAGCTTGGAAAGGTCGACGTTGTACGATTCCTGGTTTGTGAAGGGGTAGACTTGAGCATTAAAGATGCAAATGGTAACACCGCTTTGGATTGTGCCAGGGAACGAGGCAAAATTGAAGTTGTACCATTGCTCGAGGGCTCAACCGATCATTAATCTTGGAGGATGGTGTTTTTGGAAAAAATGAATGGAAGCGAGCTTGGGGATGGTTTAGAGCTGATCTGGGTTCTGAGTAAAATTTGCTTGTTCTGAAGAACTAATTTCGAAATTGAATTTGCTATCAAATGATTGTAAAAGTGTGAATACACAAAGGAAGGAGATCGCCATCAAAAGTCTGCGTCTTTTTGACAGTCGCTTCGATCGTCTCAACGTAGTGATATCTTCATTTCCGTTTCATCCCTGCAACACGGGGTCCACGCGGCGAGATCTGGCCATTGGAAAAACAATCCTCGGCCCTTGTTCGATATGTAACAGAGTCGGCAATGGTACTCATGGAAGGCTTTGTAAGTACACAGTCGGCGTTGCTGGATGCTTCAGGCAGACAAACATTGCCACGCACCGCAGAGTACGGAGTACCACCACTCGCCATCCCAGTCAGACTATTTTAATCCCAAACTAGTCTGCACCTACAGAAGCGGAGCCTGCGCCTCCAATCACAGCCATCGACGGCCAGGCGAGACTCGATCGGCTCGATGGCCACTCCTTTCAGCTGCAGCCAGAGAGCAGCTGAAAGAACATGGCCAAGGAGAAGCCAGGACGGAGTAACTACGGGGTACTCCACAGAGGGGTCTCGGGTGAGTTTTCTCTTGGCGGGGGAGAAGCACGATGTTGTTGGGCTCTCATTGGGCGCGATATTGGCGAGACCCTGGTTCCTGTGTTCCTGAATCTTGAGGGTCCGATCGATATTCTGCGGTGCGGCTCACCTGATCTCGGGGGAATAGGGTGAGGTATATTGGTGTTGTTGGATACTCAGTACATATTGGTGCTTGTCTCGCCGATTCAGGAGGTGGATGAGGGCTTGCTTGGCTCAGGGACGACTGGACGGGATTTTGTCTTACGTGCAGCCTACAGTGTTAACCTCGGGGACCTCGGGAGATGAGTTCGCTTACATCTGGTTATGTAGTTAATGACCGTGTGGCCAGACGATTATCGAGACACCGAGCTGAGGAACCGCGAGGAAAAAGTACAGAAACTGCGAAAACCTTCAAATTGGACAAAAGAAGCTTTGTTTTTGAAATGTACTATCTTTCCGGAGTAACCTACGGAGCATACAATAATGCCTCATGCATTGTGCTTCGTAACAAAAACCATACGTTGGTCCTTCAGGACACTGTAATAAAACCCAAGCTGGCGAGAAAGACGCCTCGTCTAAATTATTTATCTATTCAATCTATAGAATATCCCAGACAGATGGTATACAAAGACATTATAGGCCGTCACGACACACCAAAACCACGGAGAACTGTCTCACCCGCGCTGGGGATTAGACGTCAACCGCCAAGCCCGGAGAGGCAAGTCCTGTAGCTTCTGCGCAGCCGGCTTGATAAACATAATGAACGTGAGCGTGCCAATGAGCACACAGAGTATGTTGGTCATATAGTACCCGTCACGGTCGATGTGGCAGGTACCGCCGCCGTTCACGCAGCGGTTCTTCTCTGGCTCGAGCGCGCAGGAGAATGCCGTCGTGATAAGAGTGTCTTTGAGAGAATCGGCGGGTGGAGCGATGGTTGGGGGAAGACATGTTGCTTGGGTGAACATGTCGACGAGTTTGAGGACGAAGATGCGGGGGAATGTTCCACCCAGGTTGCAGACGCTGAGGTGAGGGGTTAGTAATGTGCATGTTGGTTGGGGGGGAAGTAGGACTTACGTTGCAAGGAGGGTCATGTACGTCCCGCCAATGGCTGGGTCGGCGATTCGGGCGTGGAAGGCCGAGATGGCCACGAACATGACCGTGTTCATAAAGGTTGAGAGAACATGCTCGCCAATTACCGTGAGCATGTACCACATTGGCATCTCCGAGGATGTGGGATAGATCATGACCGTGAATTGAGCGAGCACGGCGGCTGCTAGTCGTCCGATAAAGGCCCAGCCCCAGAGGCGCATTGCTCCGTAGTTGGTTGACCACTGGCCGGCATAGTAGCCCAGCATGATCTCAAAAGGGAAGTCGATCAACACGACTAGGGCCATGTTGTCTTGGCCAAAGCCCTTGTCGAGGAGCTTGAGACTAGTGACTCCGTCATTGGCCTGGAAGCCGATCTTGGCAATGAGGTGAATCAGGATAATGGTCTGGATGTTCTTCAACTTCAGAACGCTCCACATGCTTTTATACACATCCATAATGCTGTCGCGTTCCTTGCTGCGTTCTTCCTTCTTGAGGAAGGCCAGACCACACGTCACGATCAGATAAGCCCAGCCCCAGAAGTTGAGATAAGTGCCGAGAGATAGCAGACCTTCCTCGCCTGGGATAGTGCGGAACCATCGATTCGCAAAGTCCTTGGAGTTGAATGCCAAGAAGACAGTGTAGGACAGGAAATGGCCCGCTGTCAACCCGACCGTTTGGGCGGTCGAGGCGTAGGAGATGTTCGGTGGGGACATCAACGTGATCGCCCATCCATCTACAGCGATATCCTGGGTGGCACAGAAAAGCACTAGCATAAACCACCAGTATGTGAATTTCCAGACGCCCGCGCCATTATCCGCGCCGGCCTCGATCATCATATTCTCGATATGGCTACCCATATAGATCATAGCTAGTCCGGCAATCACCTGCACGGGGGTGATCCAGCTCTTGCGCCGACCAAAGCGCGTACTCCACACGGCATCCACAATAGGACTCCATAATAACTTGAGCGAGTATGGGTATGAGGCGAGCGAGAAGATTCCGATCTGGCCGTATGAGAGATACGGCTTGAGCAGAAAGGGCACGGAACCGGTGGCCAGGCCCATGGGGATTCCTTGGAGGAAGTATAGCAAGACCAGCAGCAGAAAATTGCGGCGATCACTGCGTGGTAGATTGTGGAACGTTGTATTTGTCTGGATTGGGGTTTGCGGCACCTGGTCGTTGTCGAGGGAGAAGCTCGGTCGCGACATGAGTTGGGCTGTTCTATCGGCTGAGGTCTCTGCGGAGGGCGTATCCCTCCTGCGCATTTCGATATTGTTATTCATCTTGCCATTCGCACGTCCGTTTGACCCGGTAGAGACTGTCAGGTTCGCTTTGGAACGCCGCTTCGAGAGGGTCGCGTGCTTGCGTGTCATTGAATGCTGTGTTATGGTAGGGAGCGATCGCCTTTGTCAGCTTCGGCAACTTCGTCCTGATTGGATCGAGGACTGAAGTTGGATATTATGTATTGAATGGTGAAAGGGATGGATCGAGGGTTCGGCTTCGAAGAGGCTGCGGGTTTAGATGCCCAGGGTGTGCTGTATGTTTAATTCCACTGAGAATGAAGGAGTGAATGAGGAATATAAAAGAAAGAAACTTCAGCGAATCTTTAGTGGGGGATCGTTGAACCGTAGGATGACAAAAAACATGAGGCAAGCTGGCCTCTTGGCTGGCTGCAGATCCGGGGACCCGAGGGGTTCTATTTTAATCTGCCTGGATGGAAAATGGTCGATGGGAATGGACACAATCTGAATCTGAATCTGATATTGATCTTTGATATGTATATTCTCTCTTGTAACACATATAGCACGTTCACACTATGAGGTCACCACATCAACACGGTAGGACTGCAGGGGTCAGATCTATAAACCCAAACTCCAATTAAACACCTTTGAGGCTTAGTTTCAGGATTTCTTCAGATCTTGCATAAGAAAAGAACAAACTGATGATCTCAGCCCACTCCGCCCACTCCGTAAGCCCAAGCTTCTGCAGAATCGCGTCAGATGTTGATGAGATCACGTGCCAAAATAAACTATGACAACATCGTAGGATCAGGATCACCGCGCGCACCTCACCAGCTCCCCAACCAACATCCAAAATGACATCTCGCGTTCCCACATCACCAGAGCCAGAAGAAGTGGAACTAGACACAGAAATTGCCTCAATCCGCGCAGAAAGTAAGCATCCCGTATCCCAATCCCAATCCCAATCCAAGCTAACCCAACCAAGTCCAAACTCTCCAAAAACGCAAACGCATCCTCACATCCAGCCTAATAACAACCGACGCAATCCAAAACCTCCTCAAGAAACCTCAACCTCCAACTACAAAAACAACCCCAACCGACCCCCTCACAACAATCTCCCCGCTCGTCCACGCCGCCGGCGCCCACACCTCCTCAAACCACCACCGCATCGCCTTCGGCGCAACCGCCTTCCCATTCAAAGACCCATCCCCGACAGCCAGCGCAAAACCCCTCCTCGGCGTGCGCATCGACGTATGCACGCGCAATGGCCGCTTCGCGAAACCATACTACATCCTCCTCAAACAGGAACGGGGTCGCGCAGGGCCCGAGTCGGGTTCCAAGATGTTGAAGGTGCATCGGCATACCGTGCCGGGGTTTATATCGATGGCGAAGCTGGAGGGTGTGTATCTACCGCGGCCTGGTGTGACGCGCGACAATGGAGATGCGGATGGAGGTTCATCTGGTGAGGACGAGGATGAGGACGCTGAGCCCGCGAAGCCGTGGAAGAAGAGCGGTCGGAAGCAGGATCTTCGCGGGTTTGTGCGCGAGCTTCGGAGGGAGCTTGTTGCGTGGCATATGCGTGTTGATGCCGTTGAGTTCCTGCGCGAGAAATTGGGGCTTGTTGGTGAAGACGGCGGGTCCTTGCCGTTTGATGTTTCGCCGGATCGCGATACGGGCATTGTGTCTTTGGCTGCTGTTGCGGTTGAGGCGCGGTATGTGCGCGTTGAGTGGGCTGATGGGCGGGTTGGGCGGTTCAAGTTGTCTAATGCTGGGGTTGTGGAGCGGGCGGTTGTTATTGGTGATGAGGGTCGGGATAAGAAGGTTGAGGATGCGATGACTGGTGGTGGTGGGAGGGTTGAGACGGTTTTGGATAGGTTACGGGTTGATGTGTTGTCTGGAGCACCGGCGCTATGAGATGTTGTTTTACTTTGTTTTTTCAGCAAGAGATACCCCAATGTCAACTTTGAATGTTCGAAGCGAATTAACTTGAATTTCAGAGCAGCTAAATTATAAACAGGTTGGTATATCTATTCAATGGTCTCCACCAAATGCTACGCAATCATGAGACCCAGAAGCCGTCGTGATGCGTGAATGTGTACTCCGTACGTGACTGTCAATCCAAAGCAGAAAGATTATTACAAGGGCAAGGGGCAACATGGACAGAAGAATGGGGTATTATAAGGGTATATAGAGTAGATGTCGTGTCGTCGTCTCCAATTAGAGAGGCACACAATCCTTGGGATGGATTGTATCGGGGGTTGAATCGGGGGTTGAAGTTTCTAGTGGTGAGCGTTCCTTAACAGAAATGGGGGTATTGGGGGCTGTGAAAGCGACAAGCGGCAAAGGAGCATATGACTGGCCATGTCGCACCTCGAGATGCCGACGTAGGACAGCCTCTTCCAAATACCAGCGATGCCGTAAAGTCGTCTTCTTCGTTTCCAGGGCTTGCATGAGAGAGGTTACTTCTCGTTGGTGCTCAAGTTGCAAGGCCGCAGCACCTTTGATGTGTCGTTTACACATATCATCCAGTTCTTTTTCCATACGCGCGGTGGCTTCCTGGAGCTTGAGCTCTTGGCGGTCACGGAGGACTTTGATGCGGGCGTGATGGAGCTGGTCCATGGTCTTGTGGGAGTGGTATTGTTGTTCTAGCTGCTCCATGTGTCGGCGCGTGAGCACACGAGCTGGCGCGGTAGAGTCGGATTCTGAGAAAGATTCCGATGACCGTTCGGATCGTTCGGATCGTCCGGCTCTGATCAGTGTTCCGGCGGGAGATGACGGCGGGCTGGCATTGCGGAGATATCCTTCCATATGCTTGATGCGGGTGCGCGAGTTCATTTTGGCGCGATCGAACTCGCGTTGCTGTTCGATTTCTACCGCCAGCTGTCGCTCTTCGATTTGGGCTATAGCTTGGATATTCTGCACAAGCGCTTGTTAGTAAAAATAAATTAAGATCCCAATTTCGTAAAGCGAACCTTTTCGCGTTTCTCATCCTCCTGGCGCTGATTGTCAGACTGTTGCTCCGAGACAGCGGTCTGGTGCCGACGCCGGAGGGTACTGAGAGCGGCGTGTTGGAAAGCGAGATGTCGGTTCCTTTCCATCTGATGCCGCTCATGCATCTCGCTTAAGTCCGGATCCTCCAGACTTCTTTGTAGTTCTTCTTTGCTGAACCGAGGTATTTCCAACCGGGGAAGTGTTACCTCATTGCTCGCGTGGGGTATAACATTTTCATGGGCAGCAATGACAGGTTCCGGCTTGGGTTCGAAGAAAACATGTTCAAGGTTTTTGTCGCTCGTGGATACAGTTATGCGACCTTCCGAAGGCAAGAAAATGGCCGAGGACGTGCGTTTCTTGCGGAAATTAATCCTCCCGATAGCAGACTTGAAGCTGCTCCGTCGCCTCCCCTTCTTGTCGTCCGACGCGACGCTGAGAATTGAATGCCGATGCAAGTTGGCAAACGGATCATTATACCCCGGCGCTAAAAGGCCTGTTCTCCCCTCACTAGAGCAAAACGAAGTCGGGCGCGTAGACAGCGAAGCGAGCGATCGCGTACTGCCAGTCTTGATGCGATCCGAGGAAAGCGCGACATCCGACAGCGACGAGACAATATCATCGAGCACGGATGGGACGGGGGAGGACGGCTCGTGGGACGGAGTGACGGAGCCGCACACAGAATTCCGATCGGTCGACGATCCAGAAGACAGGACTGGCGAGGAGAGATCGACCATTCCTGAGGTGATCGAGGCGGCCAGTGGCGCGGAAGCTGCGATCTCTGGCACTTTCAGACCCAGTTGTTGAGCCTCCTCGGCTAGGTGCTGCGCCTGCGCTGCCTCGGATTCCGGGGAGGGGTGGTGGAGGACATCGGTGCGATATTGGGCCTCATCGAAGATGGGCCCGGTGTGTGACTCCATTGTATGTACAATTATAGGAGGTATGTGGCGCCTAACCAGCGGGCGCACATGAAATTCCAGGTCCGGGAGAGGGCTAAGAATAATACCGGTTCCACATGGATGCGTTCTATGACGGCATCCAGGGAATCTAAGGATGAGGGGTTGTAAGGACAGTATTAAGAGTTGAAGGGTGGAGGTCAGAGGTCCAAGCTAAAAGGCTAGGGGCCGAAAAGGGTAGAAAGGGGAAAACAAAGCGCAGACGACGGTTATGGCCGTTTCCTTGTTTCCTCATGTTTGGTCGTTTTAGGCAATTTGGGAAAAAAAAGAAAATAATCACCTCCGACCCACGGGTGGTCCTGACGCCATCCATGGTTCTACGCCGGGGATCACAGTGAAACGGGCAATTGCATGAGAGATCGATCTAGCTCTTAACGGTTATATCGGCTTTATGCTTTATTTACACATCCCTGCACCTGCATTCCCAAGGTATACGCTTCTATACGCTGGATCCCGGTCATCCCTAGATAACGCCCCTCGATCTAGGCCATATGAAGAAGGTAGGGCTTAGGGCTACTTAAATTACCTCGGTCCCATGGAAAGGACGGATCAGCCCATAGATCAGGCCATCTAGAGACCTCCTATCTAGGTAGTTCAATATGTACAACATATGTAGTCAAAGAATAACCCTACTCGTTCAACATGTCGCATGCCAGTTGATAGGCCCGCTCTTTAGCTTGGTATTGCGGAGTCCCCGCCCTCGTCTTTTTATCTTTATCCCATCCATGACTACAACCCCGCATGCGCTCACTGACCACATGCCGGCCTGGCAACGTCTTGATCCTCTCAGCCAATTCCTCGCCCTCGGGTGCGAGAGTATCGCCATCAGCGGTGATCATAAGAACACGTCGTGGGAATCGATCCGCCGGAGCATAAGTCGGTGAAATGCGTGGGTCCCGCTTGTCGAAGGATGAGGGTACGTAGCAGCGGTCGAAGAGGCGCATGAGAGCAAGAGGAATTACGAAATCTGCACGGGCCGGGGCGATCTTTGCTCCAGGATCAGGGACTATGTCGGTCACAGGATAGATTGCTAGCAGGGAGCGGAAGGTCTCGGGAGGGAAGAGGCTTGACGCAGTCGCCAGCGCAAGGTTGGCCCCAGCACTAAATCCAGATATGGATACTCGGGTGAGGTCGAATTCATCCGGACGCATGAGCACATATTTGACAGCGTCTTCCACGTCGTTCAGTGCGGCGGGGAACGGGTGTTCGGGTGCCAGACGATAGGAGACGTCTAAGACAGTGTGCACTTGGTTTCCTGCTGACTCGTCGACAAAATTCATCGTCGCCGCCATGGAGCGGTACCAAGAAGCCACCCTCGTGGAAGTTGAGGAGAACGGGTGACGGGCCCGAGTCAGAGGACTGATACAGATGAATCTTGATGGTTCGGCCAGCATCCCGGGATTTTATATGGCGGACTTCATCTGGACCGGCCGATACCTTCACGGTAAGGCGCACTATTGTGCGAAGGAGAAATGTAAAGCATTTGTTATAGTAATACATGAGAATATCCATGGTTGGCGTGAGATGATGTATGGCATTGGCGTGAGACGATGTAGTATGTTGAAGCTGAGTCTCACCGGAGGCCGGGATTTGAAAGGCCACTGCTAATCTCCACCTTCTTCTAGTCTATTCTAATTTGTGACATCTTGCAGCCCGTAGATATTCAATTAGAAATGATTCACATGTACTTTTTCTTATTTCTACCTAATATATCCTACCCAATTATAAGGCATATTCATGCTAGAATCTCAAGGCACCCCTGCATTACACAGTGTAACTTTTCCCGGATAATCTGATACCTTCATCCCATTGTTTGCAAATAATCTACTTGTATAATCTCCGTGATGTGAACCATAGCTGTTCTAGTGCGTTGGTATTATCTCACCGCTCGTGGCCCCCTTATCAATGAGCTCTCAATTCCCCGCATTAGGAAAATTCCACGCAGAGCCTCATTGCCTTCCACGCACCCGTCTACCAATCAGAATGACCGCCTTCTGTCGTCACGCTCATCTCCAACACCCATCGCCATCGCATCTATTGTTCCCCTTTTAGAGTCCCAAGTTGTCTGGGAAACAACCATCCTAGTTTCCAAGCCCACGACTTTTGAGTTTCATTAACCAAACAAAGACTACTTATTGAGCTTGGACAGGAGTCCTGAGAGACCTCGCTTTCAACATCATATCATCTACACGCGATTTATAGGATGCCCGTCAACACTAATTTCACAGTCTTCATACGCTTACCATTTCCAAGAGGCGACTTTGTCGATCCGCCGCCTGCAAGTCTCCCCCACAGAGACCCCTGGAGCATCCACTGACATAAATAGGTGGAATGGAATGCATCCAAAGACCAAGCACTATGGGATATCCTTTCTCGGCCATCTAAAGGTGACATAGACTGTATGTATTGTTGTTGCTTTGAGACCTTGCTTTGATATCGCTGACATCATCACAGGGAAAGCTCTGTAACTGCACTCTGCCCCTGACACTTTAGCTTGGAGCTGCTAACACGCTTGTTTAGGGCAGAGAACTTCGATGTCACCTTGCAGTTCCTCCTTCAGCAGGCAGCATGGCTCTATGATCGCCAGCTGTCGCAGGTTCGGGCTCAAATGCGCAAGGTCGGCACTACACAGTCAAACTCCCCTTCCCCAGCTCCAGGATCTGTATCTGGTAGTACGGCCTTGGGTGGACAGTCACAGAGAGAAACACCAGCACCAGGTATATCCTAACTTGCTTTATATTCTTTCTTCTCTATGGTCTGAGACTGATGACCAGCAGGTTCTCGGGCGCCATCCTGGCAAGTATCTCACCCGAAAGATATCCCTCTACGAGGTATGGACCGAAACCCTACCTGTCTTCGCACAGGCCATTTGGTACCGCCGATGGATCGATCGCGTTTAACATTGACTGCAGCCCCTGAGAACCGACGTACGAGCTTTACATCAACGACGCCTACTAACCTCACTCGCGGACCTCGGGACCCTACACGCACCGCCACGCCGACAATCGACGACAAAGAATCACGCTGGGATTCTTTGGCTCACCGGCCTTCGGCTGTGAGACGAGAACAACCACCGGTCGCGTCTTTGCCCAGATCTCCGCCACTCGAGGAAGAGTCTCTGTCCTCGAGCTCATCGGAAGAATCAGCATCCGACGACGATAACACAAACAGACGTGCACCCCTGTTCAAACGGTTTGGCAAATTTTCTACTCATCGTCTACGGGATGATGAGGACGACGAAGAAGATACTCCAGCCTTCCTGCCCCTATCCCGAGAACATGAGCGTATCCATCGGGACCGGTCAGGCCAGGAACTCAGCGCCACACTCCGTTTAGATGCCGAGCGAGCAGCGGCGCTACGGCGACACCCCGAGCAGCGGCCTAACCCTAGGGTACCGGCACCAACGGACTCATCTACAAGCTCAATCAGCTCCGGTGGACGTAGCAGCCTACCCGGTGGACCCAGGCGGACCAGCCAGGGGGGATCGACGCTGAGCCCTGCCGAACGCCAGAATTCGCGCAAGTCCACCGCCTCCGGTCGCGAAGCTAGCGATGGTACTCCCAGCATGGGAAGCAGCTTCAGTGACCTCGACGGTATGTGTCCCAACCCCAGGATTCTGGATTCCAACTGATCGACTCGCAAGATGCAAGCGTTACCCAGTCAGCCCTAGAGGAGGCCCTTCTAAGCAACATGCAGCATGGTGGAATGGCGAGTCGGATGAGCACTATCAGTCAAGCCTTGCGCAGCCGGTATCTGCAGTGAAATGCATCTTACATAGGAATATCTATTTTGACAGGTTGCACTACGACGTAGTATGTGTACAACATATGATGTAGCTTATGTGGGGTGCCTAGCTGTGTTCCGCATATGGCCTCCACGTGACCGAGTGGCGCCTCGGCATCTCGGTGGTACGCTCCAGTGACATAGTGGCATTATGGATATCTTCACTTTGTCCGGAGTTCCCTATACTCAGATATTCCAGGTATTCACTGTCACGCATCGGTCAGACGGGAGCGCTAGTGCCGGATCAGGTCGTTCAGTCTCAACGCCCAGAGGAGACATATGATGGAGGGGTAGCTCAACCTGGCTACCTAGTTACCTTTAAAACGTTGAATGTTCAACATAAAGAACTGTTGGATATTGTGAATAACGAGACTCTTGGCCGATCCTGAAAAGCTGACCGGCATCAAAGAACACCGACTACAACCCCACCAAGGTTAGGACGCCGAGCGGCATCCTCGGCATCTTGTCGACTACACTCACCGGCAGATCTTCGATTCACAATTGTCCAACCCCTTTTCTCCGTTGCAAAGCGTCTATACCATCATTCAAAACAATGGTACCCCCATTAGTGGGCGACATGCCCCCAGCGGAGGCAGAGTCGGTCTATTTCAATGAATACCCCCCACCAAAGGCACTGCCGCGCCATGAAGCGCTCGCGCGCGCATTCATTGACCTGCACGTGGAGGCACACCGGCGTGTAGTGCTCGTCACATCCGGAGGAACAACGGTACCACTTGAAGCGCAAACCGTACGATTCATCGACAACTTCTCCGCCGGCACTCGTGGCGCCACATCGGCCGAGTACTTCCTCGAGCAGGGGTACGCAGTGATCTTCCTACACCGACAATACAGTCTGCTACCGTACTCGCGGCACTACAGCCACTCGACCAATTGCTTCCTGGACTTCATGGATGAGAAGCCGGCGTCGGCGGACTCCTCCAACCCTGGCCATGGACCCATCATGGTGCGCGACGAGTACCAAGACGAGATGCGCAGCGTGCTGCGGAAATATCGGTACGCGAAGCAGAACAACCTCCTCCTGCTGCTGCCGTTCACGACGGTCTCGGAATACATGTTCGAGCTGCGGGCAATTGCGAAGCTGATGCGGCCGCTTGGCTCGAATGCGCTCTTCTACCTCGCGGCTGCTGTCAGCGATTTCTTCATTCCGCGCAGTCGCATGGCAGAGCACAAGATCCAGTCTGGGGAGTTGCCTCCGCACATGCAGGGCAGTGCAATCTCATCGGATGAAATCTATACGGGCGAGAATGAAGAAAATCCTTCGCATAGCCGGAAGCTCGTCGTCAACCTCGACCCCGTGCCCAAGTTCCTGCACCAGTTGGTAGATGGCTGGGCTCCCGAGGGGAGTATGGTTGTTTCGTTTAAGTTGGAGACGGATCCGTCGCTGCTTGTGTACAAGGCGCGCGCTGCGCTGCAGCGCTACTCCCACCACTTGGTGATTGGCAATTTGCTTTCCACGCGCAAGTGGGAGGTGGTTTTCATTACCCCCGATGAGCCGTATGAGCGCTGGCTTCGGGTTCCGAAGTCCAAACGCAGCAAGAGTATCTCTGGTGTTGAGGATCAGGTTGGGTTGGCGGAGGCTAATAAGGCGGATTCGTCGACGGTGGAGCAGACGGAGGCTAAACAGATTGATGAGAACAGTCGGGATGGGATTGAGATTGAGAGTCTTATTATCCCGGAGTTGGTGAAGCTGCATACTAAAATGATTGAGAAGAACAAGCAACCTGCGCAGTGATATTTCTTGGATGTACAATTCAATGTGAATAAATAATGAGTCTTCTCGGGTCTTGTAGTTGAATTAATTAATACTGACATGGGTTCGATGTAGTACTATGTATCTCTATGACTTTATATATCATTCTTACAACTAGATCCTTGCATGCACTCATTTTTTAGATATTCAACCCGCTATCAGTGTTACTCACACACTATGAACTAACTAACTATGTGTCTTTTTTTGATGTCTTCTATGCTGCTTTTGAAGGATTTTATCACCATCATTGAAAGACTGTACACGACTAAATCGTGTACACTTCGGTACTTTCTGTATATGTATATGTGACTACCCTCAACTCTTGAATGCTTCAGATTCGACTCCTCAACACGTCATGATATCTCCGTGCTGATCCTGGTGGACCCTGACATCGTGCGGGACCCCGGAGCTCTTCACCCCTGAAGTGAAGCCTTGGAATATCTCTCATTTATAGCAAGGGATCACCATATCTCAAACACCATATATTGGATTCAAGGGGCAGCTATTTAAAACCTCCAAATTCCATCTGGGCTACGCGTCCCGATGTGTCAGCGGCAAACTTCGGCGGCGATCTTCCTTAGCTCCGACCTTTCCCCAGTTCTTTGCTCTTTTGGTTAACAGGAGAGGGGGGAAAAGATCTATTTTCAAGCACTGTTCTGGAGAAAAAATGATCAATTGATCTATTCTCTGTTTGGTGTACTCAATTTTCTCAGGATGGTGTCCCGCCGGTTCAGCCGTCGCCTGATTGCAGTTGCAACCGTCATTGCGCTCTTCTTCCTCTACAACATCGGTTTCCTCTCCAGTCACAATCGCCAATGGCGCCCTCACTTCACACCTACGCCGGAAATCACCCCGGCCCTCGACGAGAACGGTGAACCAACCACATTCTGCCCACCCCTACCCGGCGTCGAAGATGTGCTCGTGGTAATGAAGACCGGAGTGACCGAATCGCGCGAGAAAGTCCCCATCCACTTCCGAACAACCCTCCGATGCATCCCCCACTTCGTAATCTACTCCGACTTTGCCGAAGAAATCGAGGGCGTCCAGATCCACGATGTCCTCGGCAACATGGACAGCGCCGCAAAGAAGAACCCGGACTTCGACTTCTACCACCGCATCGTGAAATACGGCCGCAAGGGTCTGGAGCAACACGATTTCTCCGACGAAGCCAACTCCGCCATCGGAAAACCCAACAACCCAGGCTGGAAGCTTGACAAATGGAAGTTCCTCCCGATGGCCCAGGAAGCGCTCCGCTACAAGCCAGACGCGAAGTGGTTCATCTTCGTCGAAGCGGACACGTACATGTCATGGCCAACGGTCCTAACCTGGCTGGCCCGGTTCGACCACACCAAGCCACACTATCTCGGCACGGAAACTCAGATCGCGGACGTCATCTTCGCCCACGGTGGCTCGGGCTTCATGCTCTCCAATCCCGCCCTACAGCGCGCCTCCGACGAGTACACCGCCCGCGAGGTCGAGCTGAACGAATATACAGACCAGCACTGGGCCGGCGACTGCGTGCTGGGTAAGGTCCTCAGCGACGCAGGCGTCAACCTCCATTTCACATGGCCGATCCTTCAAAACTCCAACCTCGGCGAGCTGGACGAGTTCACTACGGACTTCTACCGGAGACCATGGTGTTTCATCGCTGCAACCCTGCACCACCTCTCACCAACCGAGATCGAGAGCGTCTGGAAATTCGAACAAAAGCGCTGGCGTGATGTGAGTGAACCCAATCCATTCTACCATTCCATAACATTGAAAAAAAAAACCCTAACCAATAACCGATTATAGAAAAATAAACGCATCCTCCTGCACAGCGACCTCTTCCGCGAATACATAGCCCCGCAAATAGAAGCACAACCCGCACGTACGAACTGGAACAACATGGCAGACGAAGAACAGCCTTTCGCACACACACCCGACGACTGCCGCTTGATCTGCGAGACGCAGACCACTTGCGTGCAATTTGCCTTCCGCGAAGAGAAATGCTTCACGAGTCTCAACCCGCGTCTCGGACATGCCGTTCCGGGCGGCGATGCGACGTCCGGCTGGAATACTAGTCGGATTCGCGACATGACGGCGAAGAAGGGAGTTTGTCGGAAGCCTGATTTCGGGGATTGAGCTGATTTGACCGTACCGTGCTTAGATATTTTTGGGGTTTTTTTGGTTTCCGGGGGTGCGTGTTATTATATGTTGGTTTTTTGCCATGTATCTGGTTTTCTGATTTGGGTTTATATTGCTTTGCATCGAGAGCGAGAAATGGGCACGATTTGGCGATTGCTTGGGCTTGGAGCCCGGTCTGATATTTGGCATACGGGGTGATTTGGCTCGGTTGGAACCTGCATTTTTTTCTCCTCTGTGCATGTACTACCATCTTCTGGGTTCTGTGGCTGATGATGAGCTTGAATAGACAAGCTGTGTTAGTGGCGTTGGTGCTTGGTTGAACCCTTTTTATATACTTGATCGCTCAATACACATCTTGATCAAATTACAGAGACCCATTTTGTTCCTGTGGAATCACAACTCTTGTGGAATCACAACTCTTGTGGAATCGTAAGTGCTATTTGCTTCGTGGTTGATCTACTGTTCGACAAGGTAACCGAAAAAGAGCAAGAAACGAATAAGAATAACATTGCTCGGGCGATGTCAACCACCAATTAGGAGAGAGTATACACTAAGAATACATACAGGAAAAGTCCCGCTGTGCGTCTGTACAGATTTCACGGCGTTCCCCATTCACAATGGTGGAGCGGACGCATCCTCCATACACTGATCAATTCGCATGATGTGGTATCCGGCTCTTTTGACATGCCGAATGAACTCCGGTAGATACCCAATGGTAGTCGGATTCAGGTAATGCATGACGGCAAGATTCCCGCCCTTGCCAATACTGCGGACGAAGGCTTCAAGCTGCTTCTCTGGGGTAGTTGTGTTTGCCCATAGCCAGTCTTCGACGTCCACACTCCAGTTCACAATGTACGGGTTTGATATGTGTCGGGCTAGCTCCTGGCGCATCCGGGCAGCTACTGTACCGAATGGCGGGCGGAAATACGAAGCTGCAAATATTCACTGTCAGAATGATTTTCAGGGATACATCAGGGGCAAGCATACACTTGATGTCTAGCCGGTCCCTAAAGATTTGCATGGACTGGATAATCTCGTCATCAATCTGGCTGAGGGTTGGCAATGCTTCCATCCTTGAATC